CCCGTCGCCAAGAGACTGGTCGCAGTATCGTGATAGAACATTGCCGGCAGTCAGCTGGATTCGAATGAGGGAGGACAGAAAGGTCCGTGGCAATTTCGTCAAGACCCGCCGATGAGAATTTGCGGCGCTTGGAGGAGATTGATGTGGTCTCAGGTGAATGTCACTGGACCGGGCTTATGTCGGTCTACGTTGACGACAACCCCTTTTGACAGGAGAAGAGGCCGCTCTGTCGTCAGCTTTAACCTCCCTGCAGGCCACGTGGACCACATCGAGTGTGGAATGGGCATCATCACAGGACCCAGTCCATTTCTGTGGCTTCGAGATCAAGGCCGATGAAGGAGGTGATGGATACCATCTGTCCCAACAAAAGTATGAACAGGAGATTCTGGTTCGGTGGGATGTGAAGGAGAGCTCAACTTTTCCCAACTTCAAGATTGCGGAGGAGGATTTTGAAGGGCAAGGGGAGAAAGACATCCGATTGGTCCGTGAAGCACAGGCCATGGCAGGATCCCTCTGTGGCTCTCAACCAGATCAAGGCCTGACTTGGCTTTGGGGGTGGCTGCCATTAGCCGACTGATGACCAAGAACCCAAAGAAGGCGATTGAGGTGGGCCAGGTGATGCTGTCCTATGTTAAAGGCACCCCGGGAGACCTTCACTACACCGGAAAGGTGCGTCAAGTTTGGGGCGCTCGTGGACAATTGAAGATCCCAAGACATGGAAACATGATCGAAGTGTTCGACGACATCGCCTATGGCACTGGGTCTGGACACCGCAGTATGCAGGGTTTGGCGATTTACTTCGCCGGAGCACCCATTGCTTGGCAAAGCTCATCCCAGCCGTTCGTGACCCACAGTACAGCGGAGGCTGAAAATTGGCGTCGCGCTGCGAGGCCCTAACAGCAGGACGGGCCACTGAGGCTTTGCTGCGCACTATGTGGGGAGAGGAGCTGGAGAGCAATGACACCTTCGACCGGGTGATCTACCTGAGGATTTCGTCTATAGCGACGAAAGGGGGAGTCTCATACGGTGATAGCACCGTTCGTACCGCACTCGAAGGCATTTTGCACAAGAGAAAAGAAGAGTGATTTTCGGTTTGAGCCAGGAAAGGCAGCTGAACAGTCCAGCCGAACTGCAAATTGAATGCCCCTTGTATTGCTGAGTTTGCGAGAAGGGTTAGTGGTTGGTTGGAAACGTTGAAATGGCCGCGACAGGCTCACATGCGACCAATACCACGAAAACTCATTTCCCGCACTTTGCTCAAGCATCTCCTGCACTACCCCGGTGCCCCAGTGACTGTCAGTCAGGCACTCACTTCATCTCTTCCGAAGTGCCCACAGCTAAAATGACAGTCAGACGATCAAAACTCGTTAAATATCTTCTACAAATTCCTGACCAGATTCTCAAAAGGGAGGTAGGTGAAGCCATTCTTCAGATATCAAAAGGTATTTCTCTCACGACACACCACTTGAGTGACTGTCCATGCTTGGTTGCGTGACCATGTGTTCACACTCACTGAAGTCATACACTCTCTGCTCTTTACTCTTGGGCATAAGCCGCTCCAAAGCTGCCAAAACCTCGTAGGGAAGAGCAGAAGGGGCCTCAAGAAGCACAGCTGCAGCTGCATAGTTCTGGCATCCTTCCCCAGAGTGTTTCCTCCAAATATTCAAATGTTTGGGGTATGCCCAAGTTGTTCAGGGCCGCTGGCTGGAAGATCTAGCTCGCATCCCTGGGAACGAAAGGCAAATAAAGTGGCTTGGTGCACTTGGAATGAATCCAAGAACTTGGTCGCCAACCAGTGTCCGCCAGAAGAGAATCACAGGGCCCGTGCACAACATGCATTGCGACCTTCAACAAATGCAAAATTGAGAGTCAACATCAGAGTCTTCAACCTCAAAAAACATAGACTGAACTGAGCCAAGAGCTCCGCTTCATGCTGCCTGCGCCACATGTGAAACGCTCCAAACAAGAAAGCCGTTGGGCCCTGCACAGCATTGCCCTGGCCCAAATACCCCACTACCCAGACAAAAGTTGTTCTTCTTGACCCTTGTCACATCGCAACCCTTTCCCCTACAATCCGGTCAAAATTGAAGGTTCCTTAATTAATTCAATTTAAAACGGTGTGATCATTGACCGTCCCACTCCTCCCAAGCAAAATGAGCTGCATAATTCGATCCGCTAGTGATCCGCATGCGTTTATAACAACGGCGTAAGAAGAACAAAATTTAGTCTGCCTGAAGGGTGATGGCCATGTTAATGCAGGGCTTGCGCATACTAGCATGTCATGTCCCAACCTCCCAATTTTGCATATGTCTTCATCTGCTGAGTTGTTTTGAGAGCGGTCAAAAACCATGGCCTGCAACATGTTTTCTTGGGGCTGTCATTATGTAGTTTCGGGGATTCTTATGCCCTCCAAAACTACACAAAAACTAAAACAAAATGCAAAGCTTCATGTATGACGCACTACCCAGACAAAAGTTGTTCTTCTTGACCTGTGTCACATCGCAACCCTTGCTCCCTACCAAGTGTGAAGTAAGCAGGTCGGGGCGGTCAATTAATCACGCATGAAAGCTCTTGAAATAGATTCAATTTAAAACGGTGTGATCATTGACCGCCCCACTCCTCCCACGCAAAACGGGCTTCATATTTCGACCCGCTAGTGATCCACATGTGCTCTAACAACGGTGTAAAACGAACAAACTTCAGTCTGCCTGAAGTAGTGTGAACAAGCTGCCTTATCAACAAGGCCCCAACTGGCCATAGTGACATGGGTATCGAACCGATTGATGCGGTCCAGTTCTGGAGTTGCAGGAGGGTGACCTTGATTGAAGCTGTCTATATATACTTCAAGAAAGTCTTCTGCCCCTCACGGATTGCACCGCCATGCTATCAGCCTGGTATGCATCACAAAAAACAGGACTTCGAATCTACCATATGTCAGTTTCTATTCAAAGCTATAAATGAGAATTGAACCATCAATAACGAAGATTTGAATGACTCAATGCAATCACAATAGGGCGCAACACACCTGTGTGTCTGCTGTGCTATTTGCGATGTCTACAGCGCACACGCTACGCCGGGAAATCTTCCTAAAACTCGGACAAAAAACAACAAGAATACGGCCAAGCAAATCTACATTTCCATCAAAGTCAAAGGAGCAGTAGATGTCCCCTGAACCTGTACCAGATTTTGGGTTTTGATCAACAAGACGCGAGCACATGTTATAGAGACATGTGATGTTGGAATTTGCCTTAAAACCTTTCGCGAGTGCTCATGAGAAAAATAGGCCTGCTGCAACAGCAACGGCAGCAGCACAGGCACGACCAAGCGAAGACGCATGGGCAAAGGCCTCAGCGAGGAAACGGCCTCCAGCAGTATCGGGCCCTGCTGAACAACGTCACTGGGCTGCAAACACCATGTTCTGGGCCTTTGCACTATCAACTCCGCAACCTGATCCACGCACACACAAGAAGCAAAATAAAAGTTGCTTATGACAATCATCTTGGGACCTCAAGGGCAGAGAGCGCCGCGAGCTGGCAAGGTGACGTGGAGGGACAAGGATTCTGTCTTCCTCAGTGTAGTTTGTATCATTCATGCAAAGGTACAATACAGTCTTGGGTGGCTGGCCCGCTCTTTGTCGTATCTGACTTTACTGACTTCATCTCCTCCGTCTCTGTGCCAACGGTTGCGACCGTCCTCAAACACTTCAAGCTATCCAGGGTTGCCTGGAGCGTCGCAATCTGTGCCTGCGACAGACCTTTGTCAAAGATGCCGCAGCCGTCATCCCTTGAAAGCCTTGGGCATTGTGCAACTGACTGCATCCTCGGGATAGTCTCAAACCAGCATGGCACCCGACTCAAGAACGCGGAGCGCCAAGTCCCCACGCTCCAGGACCGGCTGACTGGCAGTTTAAACACCATGAAAGGGTCACTTTGGAGCGAATAAGGCAAGTCAGCCCAAAAAGATAAAATTCCTATCATTCGTCGCCTGTCCCTCACAAATCCTAAACGCAATTCAATTGCTAACGCAAGGTTGCAGGAAAACCCTATTGTATTCGATGGAGCAATTTCAACACATCAGACTATTTCCATCACACGCAGGAGCAGAAGTACGCATATCACATATGAGGCAGCGTCAACAAAGCTGTTTTTGTTTTGACTTAGAAGTTCCCTATCGTATTCCATGTTTTGGCTTTTCGTACTTATTCACTGGGGCGAAACCACGCTCAGCAGAATTCACGAGTTCGTGTTAACCAGAAACCACCAAGCAGGAATTTGGAGGAAGCTAAAGTTTATTGTCCCAAAGAATCTTTGGTTGCCTTGTCATCAAGGTCATCGGCAAGTGGTTCCATTTCCCTGTGTCCAAGTTTCTGACAATGAGTTATTGAAGTGGATATTTGAAGCCTACCTTTGGTACGCTGGCACAAAAATATCACGGCCAAAACAGCAACAGACGGCCCAAACGCAAAATACAAGCAGTCACAGACAGAAACTAACTCGAACCAGGTTCAGCATGTACGGCACCACCACCACAACAGCAGCAGCAGCAGCAAAAATGCACAAACAAATAAACTGATGTTTCACGGGTTTCAACCACAAATGACCGTTTAAGTACTGGTCTCTTTTTGAGCTACGCCGCGGGTACGACTAGGTGTTTTATTCGATGTGAAACAACATAGACAAACAAACAAACAAACAAACAAATCCAACCAACCAACCAACCAACCAACCAACCAGCAAGCAAGCAAGCAAGCAACAGCAACAGCAACAGCAACAGCAACAGCAAGAGCAACAAACATTGGATGCACAACAACCACCTGATGCACAACAACCATACAACAAGCACAGCCTAAAGGACTAAGTTGAGAGCAGTCGAGCAAAACTGTCAATCCCAACACACGTATGACAGTAACATCAGTGAAGGGACAAGTAAGGAAAACAACTTAGACGCGTAGAAATACTTGAGCAAAGGTACTTTGCGGCCAATATTTCAAACAGGGCTGCCTCGAGAGGATGATCATCACGTGCGACCAACAATCGCCCCAGGCCAGTATGCCTCCTGTCAAGCCTGTGCAGGACGGAAAAGGCTGGAAAATCTTCCTTTCCCAACCTGGACCTCCCGGCTCATCGCAGGCATCAAGAGTTGGCACCACAGGGACTGGGACCTCAGCGCAAAGGTTCTTTTACTGTCAAATGACACTCACTGACGTCAAGAGCATAGGCTTCGGCGAAGGGTGGTCTTTCATCATCCCATAGTGCCATTCCGGCTGCCATTGGACAACGCCCCCGACCTCGATCCTGTCAGATCCCTTCCACTGAACATGTGCAGCTGGGCTAGTCTCATGCGGTCGCCTTGCTGGGCGTTTTTGTGAACTCATGTAAGTCTTGAATGATCCTCAGATATCCTCAGTCTGCGTGAAATGGGATGTCACAATGTTCCAAGTCCATGGCTTCTAGGACACGTCTAGCATGCTTTGTTTGCCAACCTCCCACTACTACATGCGCACAATCACACAACTCGAAGCTGCAACAGCATATGGGCAAACAGTGAGTGAGATTCATACGAGAACGTGCACCAAACGGTATCTGGATTTGTCTTGAAATCCTCTGGATTTTCCCTCTTCCGCGTCAGGTGAAACTGCTTAGATGGTGTCGGACACCCTACACACAAATAACAACTATCGGCTTGCAAGCTTTGAATTCTGCTGAAATCTATCCCTTCAGCTGCGAATGCAGCGTCCCAAGATCAGCCCCACTCATGAGAGTGCAGCAAGCCCACGCTAGCAGTCATCCTGTGGATTTAGCCACAAGCTCGATGCAAAATTTGGCGCTGCGATCTCCAATCTCACCAGCCTTTGCTTCCGATTTGCGCTGCTCCTGCAATAAATGTCTGTAATAAGCCTCAAGATTCCGTCGGCCCCTTATTTCTCAAGTTGCACATAAGTATAAGCGCTGCTAAATGCAGTGCTTCTCAGGAACAACGAAACTTAGCTCATCTTGGGCTCATAACCGTCCTCCTTGTTTTGCATCAAGCCCCTGCAAATCTGATCTTGCCAATGCCGCTGCAACAGAATCCTTGTGAACAAAGCAAACTGTTGGAAACTCCTTTTGCCATCTCCCATTCAATCTCTCTGATGCAACACATGTTGGCTGAGCTCGCAAACAATGCACCGTTTCTTTGCTTGGGCTACAGTTGGAAAAAAAAAAGAAAAAACTCCAAAATAGCGGCTCAGGAGATGGCAAATCCAGCTTGATCAAGCTTCGATTGCTGCGAAAAGCAGCAGCTGCTGCCTTGTAGACATCGTTCCCCTGGCAGTTCCCTTCCCATCCCTTCCCCAGTGCATCAGCAAGCCAAACCAAATCAATTCTAAGCTTTGATTCAACGGAAGCTATAGTCTCCCCATGTGGAAAGCATGTTGATGCCAAAGAAACACCACCTTCCACTTGTTTGAACAAGAAGGATGGAACTCCACGCTTCATGCCGAATGCCGACGTCGAGACCCTACTGTCGGAGACTCCCGGAGTGGTCGTCTTATTTGCGGGGGAATTCGTTGGAGGACCAAAGCGACCCCCAAAAACCGAGGAGAAAAATGGAAAAAACGTCCACCTTCAAGCTACCATGTGGGACTCGTGGTTTTGTTTTCCCCTTGCCTGCTCCTTCATCAAGTCCCTGAAGCTTCCCTTTGCACAGGCTTGAAGATTCACCTTCAGGTCCTCCAATCATCATAGCTTCACCAAGTGCCAATGCAGGAAAACTCCGGCCTTTAGACCTGTGTTCTCAGCCAGGGCTTCAAATATCACCTGCAAAAATGGGATGAAAAGCGGAGACAAGTCGGACCAGTCACAGAAATGACCAAAAATCCACTGCGGTGACCACCTTTGACCACGTTACCACGTGTGAGTCGAGCTATTTCTGAGAGGGAGACAGTGAGGTCGCACATCTCCAAGAAGTTGGCCTTGTGAAAACTCAAACATCAGCTCTCCAAACCAACAGGCGTGTTTCAATTTCCTCCTTTCCACATTGTTTCACCAGCTGGGTTTCTGGATTGCGACAGAGACATACCTGACCTGGACATCCAGCTTCTGCAGGGTCGAGTTGGATCTCAACGCCGCTGCCAACTCTTGGATGCATGCCTTTGAGGTGAGAACAAAAACGAACTGACAACTTCCATGTGGCCATGCCAGCGCCGTGCCACGCTCAGCTCACAGGATAGAGCTAAATCACGACATTACAAAAAAAGATTTAAAAGAAAAAAGTGCGTATACAGTTACTCAAGGATGGAAACGTGTGTCCAATGCCTAATCCCATCTATGTGAGGGTTATCCTCGTACTCGTCACCTCTTTTTTCTCCCTTCTTTTCTACTCATTGGATTCATTGAGTCGGGCTAGCTTGCTCATCTGCGATTTCGCCGGCTATCAGATCTTCTCCGCCTTCAAAACAGGGGCATCGGAACGAGAACGTTCCATCTGAAGTTCTTCACAAAGCATCGACGCTTTTGATACTATCGCATACCGTTGTATAATATGTCCTTTGTGAATAATGTCCGTTGATACAATATGTCCGTTGTATAATAGGTCTATATAGGTCTATATGTCCTTTGCTGTTCCTTTCTTTGCTGACCTGTAGACCTGACCTTTTTCGCTTGATTGCTACCGTAGACCTGACCCATCCTGGTCCGGGAGCCACTTCTTGATCTGCTTCGAGAACGTCGAGAGCCTGCACACAGGCGAAGTTGCCGACGGTCGATGGATGTGTGCTGGGACAGGGGGACTTTTGAGCACCGGCTCTGGGTTGGCCTCTCTTCCGTTCGTCGAGTTCCACGTTCTTGGCCTTCGGAGTGGGCCGATGTTCTTCGAAAAAAGAAATCAAGAAAGGCAAAAAAAAAAACACGGGACATCGATGGAGGACGGTCGGAGCCTCTGGCTTCCTGCCAGAGCCACCAGGTTCCTGGTCGCGGCCGAGGCCGAGTCCGAGGCACGTCGCCCCGCCGCGACGCGTCGCGCGGGTCCTTCACATCGAAGCGCACTTGGTCACCTCCTGACCGTGGCGTGACCGTCACACGGTCGCACGGGACGGTCGGACGAAGGTCGAAGGTCCGAGGCATCGGCGTTTGAGGCCGCTTTTCTTCACCCGGTCGCGGACCTGGCAAACGCGGCGGGAGTGGAAAACCCCGCAGGACTTCGGTCAAAACGTGGGGGGGGAAAGAAGCGATGTAGCCCATGTTGGGGCCCGAAAACGAACAAGCCCGAAGCGACGCGCGTTTGTAAAAGAAAAATTAAAAAAACAAAATGTGTAAAATCACATGTCCAGAGGAACATCGACGTCCTTGAAACCTTCAGCGTGAAGAAACACATCCGAGCCTCAAAAAAAAAGCATCCAGAAAGCAAACAATAAGGAGGGAGCAATGCCTGTGCAGAAAACTCTCGAAGACTGTGCTGTTTTTCCAGGTGCATATGTCACAGAAACAAGATCATTTCTGGGGTCAGGCACGGCCGCTGTTGCAAGAGACAAATCCAAATTGTCGCTCGACATTCCAAGTGTTCACAGTTCCAGTCTCCTCGCAGCATGAAAATCTCAGCGACAGAATCCTGTCACTGTCTCTAGACTCTAGTCCTGCGGTTTTCTGGGCATGCTGAAGGATCTGCTGCTACCTTTGAACGAAATGAACATCAACAAACCATTGCAGTTCGAACATGAATGGGATGTTTGTTTGGAGGGCAGTTCACTCTCTCTCTCTTAGGTTGGAGGCCAACGCAAGTCGATTGGAGGCCATGACAATTAGGTTGGCCTCTCTCTCTCTCGGTCTTATCTCGGTCTCTCTCAGAGCTCTGATCCAGGGCAAAGACTCGAGCGCCCCATGGCGCCAACGCCGTCGAGGGGTGGTCTCGGTGTCTCCGAGCAAAAGCAAATGCCGTCCTTCTTTGGAACGCGAGAGATGAGAGAAGCGATGAGGTGGTGCCGAATTCGAAGGCTGCTTGGCTCATCTTCACATGCTCTTGCTTGTGGGAACACCACGCTTCTGGCAGCCAGTATCTTCACTGGGCATGTTCAACTCAAAGTTAGCCTGTGGTGTCAAGCTTGGACCCGTGGTGGACTGTTCGAAAGCATTGGAACCTGGGCATGATCAATTCCGGGAGTTCTTTCATCCATGTCCTTTCCAGCTGGAGCAGAAGTTGCAGGAAGCAGGAAGAATGTTTGGAAAGATATGTAATTAATATGTAAATATTTCGTCACTCCGCAAGTTGTGCATGACCGAAACTCTCTTTTTCTCTCGATTGGGGATGCTCACGGGACAGCTGTGCTGTCAGAGTTATTCGAAAATTGGCAACTTACTTGACTGCATACTTTCTGTACATCTTGACCCTTTCGGACTCACGTCACTCTTACTTAGACACCCTACTTACTTGACTGCTTACTTTCTGGTTGGGCATCCCCCACACACCCCACCCCGGACTACCCGGGGTTCTGGGCGGTGAGGGTGGGACTTGAAAAATCGTGTCGTGGGGGGCCACTTGTAGCCAAAATGGCCAACGTATGCACAACCACTCATTCCCTTACTCATTCGTTATTGCTACGTTCTCAAAATACACTATTACTTCGTAACAGTTTGCTTTCGTCACTCCGCAAGTTGCGCGTGACCGAAACTCTCTTTTTCTCTCGATTGGGGATGCTCACGGGACAGCTGTGCTGTCAGAGGGTCCTCATGGCCTCCTCCATCACTACTTGTGATCGAACTACGACTTGCTCTACATCAACATGCGGGAAATCGTCGAAGTAGTTGACAACTGGTAGCATCAAGAACCTCTGAAGCACTTCCCTGAGAGCTCTTGCCGCTCTGTTGAAGGCCATGACTGCTCCTGTGGCGCCAAACGGGAGGACACATGATATGAAGTACTTAATCTTGCTATCACTGGGGTTCAGAACCGCTATAACTGCATTGCTCCTCTCTTTCGGGGCCAGTGCAAGTTGCTTATATGCAGACTTGAGGTCGAGACACCTGCCGCTGAGCTTTAGGTCCGCCCCCCGAAACTCCTTGGCTTTGGGACCTTCCAAGACCATGCCTGAAGGCAGCTCAACCCTCGCCCTCTCGCCACGCCATCCGTGCACCCTCATCCAGGCCGCTGCCAATGAAACTACTTCATCGACACCTCCGAGATCCAACTTTTCACCTGGGCCATAACACTGATTCACCGAGAACTCGCTCAGGTCATCGATGTTTCTCACCTTCTGCCCTTGGACTACGCCGAACCTCCTACTTGGCGTCCAAAACGGGGCCCACGCGATCCCCTACCTGGTCGGCATCGAGCGGCCCTTCAAGCCACCCATTCTGCACCTCTTTGAGCGTGGCCGCAGCTGTCTCGCCCGCCTAACTGCTTCCACTGGGGTCATGGGTATCCCAAACGTAACAACTTGACCTCCGCCCCCGCCCTGAGAGTCGGACGGAAATTGGTGCAAAATGCGTGTACCAACAGGAAATGAACGCCCGCCAAGGTGTTGAACCGCTTGCGACCTACCTTGCCACCTGTCAACTCTCTGCAAGTCAGTGGGGTCAGTCACTAGGATTTCTACTTGTTGACCGTCCTCAGGCAACATGGCGGTCGCTCGTCTCCCTCGGGGCTGTTTGCCTCCAGCGATTCTCCATTGACTGGAGGCCTGGGCGGCGAGCGGGGTCGCCCGAGGTTCACTCTGGATGCAGTGGAACCCTCGCGCACGAGCTATTCTGCCGACAATAACGGCAACACGTTGGCAGAACACGAGTGGGTACTCCGCTTCAGACGCGGTATCGAACTTCCATCCACCCGCAAGGGACTTACTTACCCCCCACTGCTTATGCTTGTGTTTGCCGTCACACCGAACGGCGAGCTGGCACAGGTCTGCACAGTTGCGCAGTAGCGCGGTCTGCTTATCCCTGTAGCCCCACCGTGCATGCATGCATGGAAGCACGTGAAAAACACACCGGTCAACTGGAACAATGAAGCAATACACGGCGCAAGCCACATGCAGCTATTCTTTGGGTTCTCAATGAAAACGATCACTCCATTGGCATGGCCATGTCTAAACACTGCTGCTGCTGCTGTTTCGTAGCGCGCGTTAGCCAACTCCACTCTCATCAAGTTCTGTCCCCTGAGGCTCGGCAGACCACTTGGGTGTTCTTCGCTCCTCAACAGTGGCGGCGATGGGACTCCACGCTTCTGTAACCACGTCGGGATGGGCTTATCCCGAGCTCTTGGGATGGTGCCACAAGGTGGGGCCATAGGGATGAATACAACGCCGCCTCTATCAACCTTACTCTGCAAAAACTTGGCACTACTTACTTTGGACAGGTCCAGCACTATACATGGTCCTACTCGGTTCTTACACTTCTTATGGTCTATACCTACTGCGGAAAATCCATGCAACTTCAGACACTTTGACAACTTGCACGACCCTGCAAACAACTCAAACGTTTGCGGCACTTCACCACTCACATTTTCACTTTGTCTGTTGGGATCGTGCCCTACGGCGAAAAAGCTTTCTGTACATTCGACGGGATCGATGCGAGTTCTCCTGGCTTCGCCCGTTTCCAGGCCTGTCTCATCGGCCTCCACTGCCTCTCACTGGCTCTGGCAGTTCACTGCTGCGTGACCCTGCTTCCAGCAGCGCATACAAATGCGCAGCCCCTTCGTGCACTTCCCATCTTGGGCTTGCAGGTAATCAGGTAGCCATGTTGTAGCCGTAGCAGACGCGTTCTCCCTGCTTTGTGGGCGTCAGGCCCCACAACTCCTTCGGCATCTTGATCGGCATCTTCTTGGGGGCCGCCGTTTTGTCCTCTTCGCGCTGCAAGGTCTCCTGCTTCTTCTTCTTGGTCTCGGCCTTCTTCAGCCGCTCCTTCAATTTCTGGTTCTCCTTCATGAGCTTCCTCTTGCCAGCACCGGTCTGCTCTTGTTCCTGCGGCTGGCTCTCTTTGGTAGCTTCCTTCACCCCACTTGCACGGGCCCCGGCAGCGGCAGCAAAAGGACAATGAATCACCTGCTCCAGGGCCGGCGAGGCGCCTTCCGGCTGGGTTCCTTCCCAAGTCCCCTTGGATCTGCTCGCTCATGAGCTTCCATGCCCTTCGATCTGCCGCTGTGACTTGCGACAGAATGACCTGGCTGTATCCAGCAGGCGGCTCCCTCTCGTACTCCTGGAAGAGCTTGTCCACCAACTTCTCATGCACCGTGAATGTCATCGCGTCGGCAATCTCGAGAGCCAGCCCACGGCGAGTGTACGCCTGGCGCAACCTCAGGTCTGTCCTGGCGTCGGCATCAGGGATCTTCGCCTCGTCATGGGCCCTCAGATGCCCACTTGCGTCCCTCTTGATCAGCTCCTCCGTCTTGATGTTTTGGAGTTCCTGATCACGTGTCGGGATCTCGCGCGGGGCCAAGTACTTGAGCTCGCCCTCGAGCTCGACTTTCACTTGTCGACCACATGGTGTGCCGGCTCGAGCTGGTCGTTGATCTGGAGGTGCCCATATGTGGTCCTCAACAAGGCCCACCTTGTCTTGCGCTCAACTGCTGGCAACTTGCGGGTCTTCGACCCGTCGGCCTCCTGGGTGCCCTCGAGCCGCTGTCGCAGCTCTGCTGCCACCACCGTATAGGCCTCATGATACAACTTCCGCACTTTGGGCAAGTCAGCATGGTCTGCCCGCCCGAGGATCGGCACCACAACTTACCACAACTTGGTTGATGAAGGCCGTATCATCCCCAGCTCCTGGTGCCCAGCTGCTTGCGAAGGCGAACGTGGATAGGGTGGTCCATCCCCTTCTCCCCATCTCGGCCTGATAGGCGTCTAGCCCAAATTCCTTCAACTTCGCTTCAAACACTGCCATCGACTCTGTCAGTGTCGCCATGGCCCGACTTGTCTGGCCCGACCACACTTCGATCTTGAGCCTTCACTTCACTGAGTCGCTCAACCTCTCGCTGTGCTCTTGACCTTGTTCTCAACTTACTTTACTTCTTTACTTAGTTTGGATCATGCTCACACGACTTCAAACTCACAGCTCTACCTTCCACCTGCCTCACCCGCTCAGCCCGCCAGTCCTCGGCGGCCACTTCCATCGGCAGGACGTCCCCGCCCACTTGACCTGATCCGGACTACCCGGCCACAGGTCGACGCTTGGGAACTTCTCCCACTGGCACTTCCACTTGCACTCCACTCTTCACGTGTCACTTACTTGCTATTACACACAAACTTCACTTGTGCACTTACTGATTCACTCATGCATGGGGTGGTTCCCTTGCAGAAGGCAAGAGCACTTCTAAAACTTCCTGCTCTTGCGGCGGGAGCTCCATCACGTCGAAGTTGATCCACATACGCGTATAGCACTGTAGAGCATCATAGCACTCAACCTTACCTGCAAGGTGCCGTTCTTCTTCTTGGCGAAGACATCATCCAGGACCTGGGGCCCATGCTGACGGATCATCGCCTCCACTTGCCATCCTGTCAAGGCCTTGTCTCGTTCCTCGGACTGGGCCCTTTCCCAAGGTAGCTGAGTGCCGCCCTTGACCACGAAGCTGGGGTTCACTTTGACGTCCTTGACCTCCTCGTTCTTTGGCTCAACTTGGATGTCCATAAACTTTGCACTTCTGCCGCTATCCATCAGCATGTCGAGCGGCATCAAACGATCAGGCTTCCCTAACACCACTGCCGCATAGCCCCTCTCCCAGGGCATCTTCAGAGGCTCTGGGACGAACCTCTTGAGCTTCTGACTCTCGCTGGTGATCACTCCATACTCATCTCTCTGCACGTCCATTGTCTGCTCACTTGCCGGCCTTGATGAGGACGCTGTAGTAGAATCCACCAACTGCCGAAGTTTCATCAGTGGGCTCACCTCTTCCGGCTTGTCATCTGGCGGCTCCGTGGCCGAGTACATTTCAGTCGGAGTCTCTGCTAGCCACACATCTGCGGCCCTCATAGCCTCAACCTCCCTCACTCGCACCGCCAGATCCTGCAGGTTCTCAGCTTCTGGAAGCTCTTCGTCGTCCTCATCTGGCACCGTGATAGGCCCCCCCGTCACGAGCTCCACGTCCTCCCCCTCCATGGGGGCACACGGATACCTACTTGAAAAATCGTGTCATGGGGGGCCACTTGTAGCCAAAATGGCCAACGTATGCACAACCACTCATTCCCTTACTCATTCGTTATTGCTACGTTCTCAAAATACACTATTACTTCGTAACAGTTTGCATAACTAATATGACTATACTATATAATCAATATACAGGGTCCCAACGGCAGCAAGTAGATTCTGTGTTATTTGGGATTCTGACGCCACTCGATTCCAAGGCTGTGTTGCCCATCATCCTGGTGCGGCTTTCGCAGTGCACGATCAAAAAGGAGAAAGTCATTCACATGTCAAGCCGTGCCAGGGATGGCAAGTGCTTCAAATGCGTATTCTTGGTCAAGGCTTGGAAGAGCTTTGGCAGGATCCTGCGTGGGTGATGCGAGTGCGGCCAGCATCCACCGACAGAATGGAAACGTGTGACAGGAACTTTTGACCACCTGTCAGTCACCTGTGTCACAGAATGAGTGCCTTTGCTTTCAAGGCCTTCCCAAGGCAGGTGACTTTGCCCGCGCCCTTTTTCCGATCAACCCCGCGGCAGCTTCGCCATCAGCTCAGCCACCTTGGAGCTGGGTGGGCCCTTTTGTGGCGCAGTCGAAGACGCGATCCGACTCGCTCCTATCCCGGCAACACAAGCCACTTGGAAGACCGGGGCGCCCCCACACTGGTGCCCGTGCGCATAGGAGACGTCGGACTGACGGGTCCGGCTCGGCCTCGACCTCGGACGGCCGGCCGGATGGGTCGGCGTGGTCGTGGACGCTGCGTGGAGTGTGAAGTCGGGCCTGCCACTTCGGGCTGATCTCTTCCATTGGGCCTCACAGGGAGCAAAAAGAACAGGTGTCACTTTCAGCGAGGTCGATGGATCTCTGATAGAACTCCCGGTTTTATGTCGAAAGGGCGTGTGTCGCGAGGTCGACGGCTCAGAACGGCTCTACCGAGCCTTGATGGAAGCAATTCCTGCTGAGATAGCATTGCCTGACTGTCTCTCGCAGGAACTTCAAGTGCATATCGAAAGCTGCTGAACAACACCAGCTGTTGCTGTTCTTCATATTTCATGTCTCTGTCTTGCACGTTTGCCGTGTCTAACCTCCTTCATGGCATGTTTGAGGGCTGTCATGAAAACCTTGCATTCTTTGGCTTTCAGCATGCTCGAGCTACTCCATGCTACTCCTACTCCCCGCCTCAGCTCCATTCCTCCGCGACCTGCCACAGGTTCACCGGTCAGTGTCGGCACCGGTCAGTGGCACCAAGGAGGTCCCGGCCTTGAGGACGGGACGGGCTCGCCTGCCGAATAGCAACACACGTCGGCTCATCTGTCCAAGCCACAGCTCATGTTGAGCAGTGGAAAGTCCTGATGCATAAACCGTTCTCCCCCCGAATTGGACATCCTCTTCATATGTGTTTTTTTAATTCATCAAGAGTCTTTTCTTAGCTCATGCCTCATGTCTCGTGCTTTGCGAAAATTGAAAGTGAAGCAATACCGATCGCTTGATTGCGACAGACTTGGCTCATGTCTGAGACTCATGAGCCTTGATCCTCGAAGGTGAACAGTGACTCACTGGCCTGCCACGGATCGTATGGATTGCCACCCTCACCGTTCGTTCACCGCGTGTGGTTGATCATTCGCGGCAGACTTGGCCTGGTCGGCCTGCAAACCTCGGGCTCGACCTGCCAAGTCTGAACCACCTTGGAGAGGCGGCATCATGGCGGCGTCCGAGGTCTCCGAGTCAGAGGACAGAGGACCAAAGAATCCGTGACTTACCCCAAGTTTGAGCGGTTTGTTTGTGCCATTACGACTGAGTCCGGAGTCCGGCGTAGAGCCACTGAGCTCCCCGGGCATGGCCGCGCCTTCATCGCTTGCAACAACTGCCCGCTCCGGCGGACTAACCTGGAACGCCATGAGGACGGCTCTCAGGACGGCAAACGATGGCTTTCGGCATCCAACGAGTCACCATGTTTGTTCGCCTGATGTTTTGACTTCTTTGTGTCCCACCAGTTGGTGCGATGTCGCAAGGCATTTAAAGGTATGTTTAATGATTTTGCAATCAGTTCTTCACTATTCCTTCGCCGTCTCGGTTCTTGCTGCGTGCCGGACCTTCATCCACCTTTATCCACCTTCATCCACCTTCTAAGTCTACAGCATAACTAGTCAGAATACGGAGTACAAAATGAAGACCGGTGGGCTACAGCCCTTGGGCTCCCGAGCTGTTCCTCCATTTGCTCCGCACTCTGCTGGATCAGGGCTTGCGCTTTGCTCAGTAATCCAGTTAACCTTGGAGCTGGACATTCCCCAAAACCAAAAAATGTCCCTGCGCAAAGTCTTTTCTGCTTGGGCAGTGCAGGCAGACCCACATCTACAGTCTCCTATTGGCATGTTGCGCAGTGGCCAGCACGCTGGTTTTAAAAACGGGCCGGATCATTGTGCGGCTCAGTTCAGGAAACAACGCCCTGCACAAAGGTTTCGATAGGTTCCTAGGTCCCTGACTGCCTGTCAGCAGCTGCCAATTGCTCTTCCGTCTTGGAAGCTAGCAAGGATGCTTGCTTGGTGGCCTTGCCGGTCGCGGCGCAAGTCATACCCGTCAATTCATATGTACTTCTTAGTGGCAGAGTGTTTTTTGATGCAGAAAACAGATCCTAGGATTCTAGAAAGGATTGAAGCCCGTCAAGCTCCTAGTGCCTCCCATGTTCAAGACCAACTCAGTCAAGTCGTTTTCACCAACTCCCAGCCAAGCTGAGTTGAAGCCTGTTTCATGTGAAGAATCGGGGGGCCACTCGGCCAATCCCAATCCATTCGATTGGTCCACCCAAGCTGTCCACAAGCGAAGCTCAGATCCGGCCGAGCTCGAACGCCTCCGGCTCTCCGCCTCGAAGCGGAGCAGGTCAAAGAGATCGTTCCGAAGCTCCTGAACACGTGACTTGTTCGTTCGCTCTCTTCAGGTCACATGGGGGGGCCTTTTTTGGGGAATTAAACGCGTGCATGGGAAGCGAAGCCACCGTGGGTGAGATGAACTCCGTCTCGGTGAACCAAAGAAACACTGCGTGGATGAGACAAACCCGTGTTTGCGAGAAGGGCTCCGTCCTGTGGTACAGGATCTTCGAAGCGGCTGTCCTCGGCCTTGACAAGGCGGCTCTTGATGGAAGACTGGGTGAAAATGCCGCAACTTTCAAGAAGAAAAGTGGAAGAAGTGCACCTCTTTGTTCAAGTGATGTTCAAGGTCCTCCGCACAAGCCAAGTGGTCAAAGCAGGAAAGCATGGACATCTGTCACAGTGAAGCGGTTCAAAAGCAGCTGAGGATGCTTTGAGGATGCGAATCCTGGACACCCAAGAGAGTCTTCTTGAATGTGTCTTGGATCCCAGGCCTCTACCCTTCTCTCAAGCATTTTCAAGCGCATCTCCATATGCTCCTTTCGCAAGCCAAGTGGTCTGAGAAGGGTCCAAAGGAGCTCACATTCATCCCAAGACAGAAACAAATCCTTTGTCTATCCTTTTCATTGCGAGAAGTTAAGACCCCATCCAAGCTCCCAAGAGAGTAAAATCTACAGTAGTACTGTAAGATCACTTCAAAACACCTCAAGGAGCGCTGCTAGCCGCCCTGGCCCAGAGAAAAAAAACAGTGTGACCACTGTCACAGCCGTCCTGAGATGATGCCGGTCGCCTTACCAGTAGAGATGGGCAGCTTTCCGCTCAGAGCCGTGATGTTGGATGGAAGACATGTGAAGTTCTCATGAAGTTCCGCGTGTTACAAAGGACCGAAGTTCAGAGCCGTTCCCAAGAGCTTTCCACGTTCGTCCTGAACATCTGAGTTCCCCTCGCCTGGCCGCGGCTCGAGTCGCGTCCGTCCACCGTTCTCTCTCCATCGAAGAAGGCTCCTGGGCACGACGAGGCAGGAGCTGCGGCCGAAAATGCTGTGGAGATGGGTGGAGCTTCAACCTCTTCATTTGGGAGTTCAGTGGTTTTATGCATCAAGAGTCAAGAGCGAACCAGTACTGGATGCTGAACAAATTCCCCACTGGTCACCGTCCATTTAGGGAAATACCTCTTGGCTCGTGGTTCATGTTGGAAAAAATCACACAAACCATAGAGGATTTGGGCCCAAAAACACTGGGCCACCCTACTTCCTCCGGCGAAAGGGTACGAGACGACAACGGACTCCATGCCAAGCGCTCCACCTGACGGGTCGTGAGAAAGTATCCGGTGTCACCGGTCTAACCAGTGCACAGAAGAATGGACACTGATTGCAACGAGCATAGAAAGTGTGGTTTCATTCGGCTAGAAACTGAAAATCGTGCCCAAGCTGCACTCATCGGTCTAGATGTACCCACCAGTGGTTTGTGTGGTCTCCCCAGTTTAAAAGCAAAAAACATTAAGGATAAGTGAACATCCACGGCCTTGTCGTCCGCCATAGCGCTGTGGGAAGATTGCGGAGACTGCTCTGGCGTCTGGCGGGGAGGGACCCGCATGGATGGAGCTCATGGTAATGCTGCTGTGGAATTGGGTGGCACAAACATGCACAGTATTTGCGCAAATATGCACAAAAGGTCCGCCTTCAATCGAAACCGCCGTGGGGTGAGCACACTTGCACTCTTGGCACGGGCCAGCGAAATGGGCGTCAACATGATGAAATTCGCCGGGTGTTGAGTAAGCGCAACGTCTGAAAAAACATGGCGCGGTCCCAATTCTTTAAATGTTCGTTACTGCTGAGCTTTCGGGCCCTCTCTTCAAAGGCGGCGCTCATGGCGCTCATAGCTACTATAAATCCATGATTTCTCCTTGATGGTCCTGATATGTCCTGATATAGCTGCGGAGAGCTGTGTTACAGCTGCTTGGCATGGGTGCACTTACGACACAAAAGCTGCTCTTCAACGAGGTGAGGAGACACACCTTGGCTCCTTGTCTCCTGCAGATGTGGCTGGCAGTTCATCCCGCAAATGTTTCTTGTAAACAACAAAGAATCGAATGAATCCAAGTGCCTCTCGGAATGTGGAAGCATCCGAAATCCAAACGCTCGAGGCTTGGATCGTTGAGATAGACTCTGTGTACCTGAACAATCCAATAATGGAATCTGCAGAAACGGTCGCTGCGTAGCTCTCATATGATGATTCAATATATATATATATATGTATTTAATATGACTCAAAAAAAGAAAGCGAATTTGCACCACTCTGCCACCGCTCGTTCTTTTTGTTGTCTTTTTCACGCAAGGCCAATCCCCAAGCGATGCTCCAATGTGCGCAATTCAAATGTCCAGTGCGCCGCATCCTCTCACGATGTTGTTGCTCCAACATGGGCTGACCTCACCTCAAGTGGATTCCAAATCAGCGACCACCACGACCACCCGACACCGCAACCGTCACACGTCTCCGCCCCGTCTCCGCCCCGTCTCCGCCGGGCGACCTGTGATGCATACTTTCCCAGCGTGCCAAAGGATCCCGGCCTTGGAGCTCAGCACATGGTCCAAGACCATGTCACTGACAGCACTAGCACTCTCTTTTTTCCAACACCCCCCCCCACACAGACTCCCCCACCACCACACAGACTTCCCCAGCCCCGGATATCCAGTCGGACCCCCTCCTGGGACGCCCCGGCTTCGGCGCCGGCGCGCGCCACTCGCGGCGCCGGGCGGCCAGCTCCTTCTCCGAGAGCGCCACGGAGAGCTCGCGCCGCGCCGGGCGCCTGGGAGGAAACCGGTCGGAAGGAGGAAACACCGGGCGAGTTCATGTGGTTTTGATCTGTGGCCTCAGAACTTTGAGAGACGTTGAGAATCTCAAAACCAATCAGCTTTCATTGGGCATCTCCGATCGCGAAATGCGCTCGTCGAGGGACACGGTCACCATGTCACCATCCACCAAAAGGCCAATGGGTCCGCCAGCTGCAGCCTCCACACCAGTCGGCCAGCGCAGCGAACGAAAAGAAGCAAGCTTCACCGGTCGTTCGTGTCGCAAGCTTTGCGAATCGCTTTAAAAAACAAAAAATGAGTTGGTTAAGCCGCCGGGTAAGTAGGAAGTTGCCCAAGAGATTCTTTCAAATGGCAGTGAATGAAACAAGTGTGCAAGATCCCTAGCGGCCCGACTTATGTTAACGAGTGCGACGGGAGTCCGAAGGACGGGTACCCGTTGCGAATGGATGCAAGCCGAACGAACGAAGGCGAGAAGGCACACGAACGAGCGGAAGCGCGTGAGCGAAAGGTGCGGAAGCGAGAAAGCGACGAAAGCAGGGACGCACACAGCACGTCAAAGCGGCACCCTGAAGAAAACCGAGCGGACGCCCAATTTTCTTGAGCCAATGTGGTCGTGGACGGGATGAACATGTTGAACACCCTTGGTGACACGCGACTGGTTGAATGTACATGTAATGAAGATGCTGTTGCATACTAGGGGTACATAAAAGTGGACTCAAAAAGCCGAGCTGAACAAGCGAGTTGGCGAACTTCACGACTTTTAGGAGCTTGACCTTGACTTGAAGAGACTTCTTTAGGTTGGAAAACCGACAGTGGAATGGACCGAAACGGGTTTCGGACGGCGCCGCCTCCGGCGTCACGTGGCCCACCATGATCCCATGGGAAGCGCCACTGGCCAAGCGAGAAGGGAGAGGGTGAACGGCCAGTCGGCCAAGCAGTGGAGTAGTGGAGCGGTTCTTCAAGAGATGGGTAATGATTGGGTGATTTGTTTCAGACAACAATTGAAAAAATCAGAAAAGACATGCCAAACAAAACATGCAAAAAAACTCCAGTGGCACGCATGCCCAACACAGATCACCCTTTCAAAAACCGAGTCACTGGAGTCACTCGAGTTCCAGTGGAAGTTCGCCGAGGAAAAAGGAAGGAAAAGGATGAACCGAAAAGGTCAACTGGGGAGATCAACCTACCAAGGTCAACCGAGCCCGAGCCCGAGCCCGATCCGCGGTGCCATGACCCAGCCAGATCTCGTGCCTAAAGCGACCATCGGTGACCAAGGCCACATGCTTTCCGAGCCCAGCGCCCACCAAGGCCGATCCAGGGCTGAGCATCTGAGCCGGCAGTAGCAGAGCCACGAGCCGAAACACGCCGACCGTCATCAATTCATGGCGATTCAAATAGAAAACATCGACTCAATATTAGAAGGCCTTTGTGCTTTTGATAGATGTCCAGAGCTACGAACAGAGCAAGAAGGACGCTACTTACTATAGGGCTCCTGGGCCGTACGCTACGAAGGGAGCAATGTTTGCTCCTTGGAGTCCGGTCCTCGCCGGCCTCTGGCATCCCCGGAGATCCCTTTGGACCTTCGTAGCGGATCACCAGAACGTCCTTGGACGAGAGCCGTGAGCGGAAGCGGCCAAAGCGGCCAAAGCAGAGAGATCCTCCACGGTTTTCTGAGCAAAACCAACATAAACCAACCAACCAACCAGCCAGCCAGCCAGCCAGCCAGCCCAAGCAACAAACCGCACGAGCGGTTCTTTTTCACAAGTCCAGACAAGACAAAAATCGTTGGCCAGAAATCGGTGTGGCAACACAGCCTCAGTGCCTGGCACCCTTCTGTATCTTTCCAGCCATGATCGCTTCAAAGGCAGCATCCTAACATCGAAGCCGTCGAGAGGCTCGTCGTCAGAAGCTCACACGACGGACGGACTTTGAAGGGTCCTCGTCGTCGAAGCAGCGAGCAGGACCTGGGGAGCTGCACAAAGAAGACGCATCCCAAAAACAAAAAAGTATATAATAAATAAATATAAACAAATATCAATATATCAAAAATAATATTCTGTTTTAGGCTCCGTTTTAGGCTGGAAATAAGACCGGTTTGGGGTCCAACATGTTCCAACTGTCCGCAAAGGCACCCGTAAGCTCGATGTCTGTCTTCCCCGAGAGCTTGCAAACCTCAAGAGTCACACAGGAGGAGCGATTGACAGATCCGACTCACGCCGACCACGCGCGCGCGCAAGTCGAGCAGATTGGGTGAGAGGCAGCAGACTCTGGAGCCAGATTTCCTTTCAACACCTCAAAGCACAATGTTTGGGAGCTGAAACTTGGTGTGACAAGAACGGGAAGACCAGCTGCGACTTGCTGAAACTTGCTGTGAAACTCGGCCGCAAACCAAGATGTGATTTCCTGCTGGCGCCTCACGAGCCAACGGGCCAACGTTCCGGCGTCGTCGCTCCAGCCGCTTCGCAGGTGGACCAAAATCCCAACTCGAAACCGGGTCGCAACTGAGGACGGGAGCAACTGAGCGAAGCACCAAGGGTTTGGTCACGGGATACAAGACGTCTTGAAGTCCCAAAGCGGCCACCTCCAGCTCGCGCCGTCCACGTCCGCGGCGCCACCCGACGGAAAAAACGGGCTTCGCTCCAAAAAGGGGCAGCTTTCATGCACCAGCTCTGTGAGAAGAACACACCCAAAGCACCGAAGCGAATTTCGTCTAGATCGCGAAGGGAGGGGGAGGCAAAGCAGCGATGCGCGATGCTACGGCTGCAGGTCCAAAAGCGGAGGGGGGTCAACCTACCAGTGAATTAGGGCTCCGAGTTGTCACACAGCCATAATGAGAGATTCAGATTCAATCAGATCCTTCTACAGACCACACAACTCGTGGGCTCTTCGCTTCATTGAAGCTCCAAGCTCGCATAGGTGCTGGAAAAAAACACATAAAACATCCCATCCCATCCCCTCGTGTTCCAAGCAGCAGAAGGTGTGCCCGCGAGATTCTCGGCCACCGTCCTGGCAACCCGTTCGCGCCAGCGATGGTTTTGCGAACGTTGCACGCTGCAGTACCACATGGTCCACTGGAAAACGTTCGCACAAACCTGTGGGTGCTTCATCGTCACTGCGCCAGACCCGATTGACCACGAGACCGAGTCAGGGCCTGCCAGTCACTGTCATGCAGTCCCCATGTACAAGGCCAGCATCCAGCAGCTCCTGGACTCACTTTCTAACTCTGAAAATTCCTGACTGTAGGGCCTATACTCGGGTGAAATCCCTTTCCTGATGCCTGGAACAGGCGTGTGCAATGAAAAAAACACATGAACTTCAGCTCTCCATCGAGCCAAGCTTTGCAAAAACAACAGCAGACGACCGGCGAATAGGGCTCGGAGGCTCCCGCATGACGACTGGTACTCCGCCGATCTTGTCCAGGTCGCTCATGTGATATCTGAAAACAAAAAAGGCACGGTCCACGTTTCCGCCGGAACTTCTGAAACTGGCGTGTTCCACCGCCCTGCCTCTCACCAGTTCAACCACATGACCACCATGCTTGGTGGAACGAAGCGACCGTAAAGCGAGCGTGCCTTCCGTGAGGCGAGACGTTCCCGATGAGAGGCACTCTTTGGCCAACTCGATGGAAATCCTCCGGTCGAGGCCGATCGATCGGATCCACCGAGGTCACACAGCGCACCGAGCGGTGGGCGGGGGTCGTGGGGGTCGGTGGGCGGTGGGCGGTGGTCGGCGTGAATGGATGGCAAGGTGATGTTTGAAGGAAACATGTGTGGATTGCTAGTCGGTAAGTAGTCATAGACTATAGATGTAATGGGCAATAGAATCCAACAGGGAAAACGGAGCGAGAAAAGAACTCAACTCTGCCACCAGGCCAGGGCTTTGGGTTCCAGGGGTTTGGCTTGCACGTAACCGACGTCGTCGTCGGTACGAGTCGTACGCGTTTGGCAACGTTCGTCTTCCTCGATGTTGAACTCGCTCTCTGGTATGCCAGCCTGATGTCGCTTGAGTCCAGTCCAGCCATCAATTGACATCTGTCGGCCTCGTGCGCGATCGCAAGGGTGTGCAGAACGGCATTGGTGCTGCCACCCAAAGCCTCACTCAAGAAGTCCCTCTGAATGTCAGAGATACTAGCTGTATCTCACTTTTTCCAAACGTTTACAAGGAAAAATGAGGCCGGAGTCGGAAAGTGCAAACAATGCTGAGCCGGTTTACTCTCAAGTACAACTGCCTCTTTCTTCTCAATGAAAAACGCTCCAAAAACGTTCTTTTTTGCCTCACTGAGATACGGACATAAACGACCGCGACGGCATTCTCCAGAGCCTCGCAACTGACTCAATCACTCTTCCCGGCTCCACCCTGCTCAAGACGTGCCTTCTTCGTAATGATTTTCCGTGCTGACCTTAAGGCGTCTAAAGAAGAACATTGAAAAAGAGCGAACGCCCGTTTTTTCAGAATTCCTTTCTTCAACACATGATCATATGTACCCAAATGTCAAAAACATCCCAAGAGCACAAAAGAGCAGGCTGGCTTTTGTCAGAACGCTTTGGGTTGTGCAAGGGTCCTCCTCGGACCCTGTTTCAGTCTGTCAGAGACCAGTGAGCAATCTGCTCACAAAGGTGTGGCAGGCAGTTTCAATCACCCACCAAGGCCTGACACACCCTTTGGGTCTCCTGCAGGGCACAAAGCGCCTGGCCGGGAGCCCAGAGAATAAGGGGTCAGGAGGACTCCCACCGGATCCGGTCACGGGATCTTGGGTGGGAAGCTAGGAAAAAGCAGTGTTCGACAGCAGTCGCGGTGCTAAAGAAAAAAAAATAAGTCCACCGGAGCCGGTAGCCGGCGGTCCGGGACAAATCCTTGAAAGTCCGGAGAGTGGGCGCCCAGGTGTTGCTAGGAGCCCGGCTACATCCCTCACGATGCAATGTCAGTACCAGCTCCATCAGGAGGGCAGCAGTGTGCGGCTTCTTGGAGGAGAGGTTCAAGAGGCTAAAGATATTGCCGGAGTTGTCACTTCCAACAGGCAGTCGGATTCTGCCTGGGACCCCCCCTTGCCGGGAGATCAGGTGCTTACAGGGCAGCAGGGTGCCCAGAAGCTCCAAGGCCGCAATGCGTTTCTGAATGGTTATGGGTGTTGACGTGGCTCAATCTTGTAGTGGAACCAGTGGACCACATCTTTGGTTGGTTGGGAGATGTCCGCGCGCCAGCCCCCAACATATGCATCCCTCATGGCCAAGGCACTAGCATCACTGCAACCCCACCAAGCAGATTTCGGGACGAACGGAGAATAATTACTGTTCGTAAGGCATAGTGAAGAGGTCGGAGGGCACGTTGAAGGAAGGAGCTGCCGGCGGCCCTGGAGGCTCAGCCAGCGGCATCGGTGCAGCGTCAGCAGGGGCAGCAGCCGCCGTGGGGGCTTCCCCCCGACATCTGGGCCAGAGGCACCAGGTGCCGAGGGAGCCTTGGTTTCTCCATGGGGAGGTCAACGCCCTTGTCAGCATCTTCCAAGGCCACCTGTTTCACCTTCAAGTCCTCCATGTGCGCCACGAGCCGCCTCACCCTCTGCATGACGGAGGGCCATGGAGGCAGCATCCGCCTCCTCATTGAGCGGCGCAAAAATTGGGCTATCCACAGTAGCCACCTCAGCGTCCAAAGTTGGGTCCGCAGCCGCTCCAGGCTCGGCCTCAGTGAAGGTCTCAAGCATCACGTACTCTTCCTCCATAGGATGCGCCATAGCGATGTTCACAAAAGGGAGGCCTATGGGCGTGAGCTTTTTCAATCACCTGTAGGCAACAGTGTTGCCTTCACCCTTGAGCCAAAATGTCTGTCCTGAGGGCGAAGCAACCCCTTCTCTGCCAGCGAAAAAAGTGCTGCAACGACAGCTGCGCAGTCCTGAAAGGGGGCCCAATGGGGCCCGGCGCTGTCAATTCCACCAGCAAGGTCTTCCAAGCGTCTCAGGTTTACCAACGTTCTTTTTGACCAACCCAAGAATTCCACTCTTCATCTCACCTTCTCCCTTCAGAGCTCGCTCCCAATGTCTCTAACACCGCCACAGCCACCGCGCTTTCGTTCCCCACAGCCACCTGCCGCTTCCGTTCCGTCACGGAACGAGGATCGTCCCGCGTCGCCGCGGGCTTGCTGGCCTTGAGGCCGCGTAGGTCGCCGCGATGCACATCGACCGGGCGGAAGGTCGAGGGTTCTTCTCTGAGGGCAGGCACCGTACCAGGCAAGGCCATACCCAAGGCCTGAATCATCGGACCAAGAGGACGCACGGGTTCCTGTATTGTAGTATATTGTAGTCTTGATGGTCAAAGACTGCAGTTCATAGTTTGGAGCTGATAGAAACATTCAATCAAATGATTCCACGAGATGCACGAGATGGACCAAATCCTGAAGCTGGGTGGCTGACTTCAACCACAGAAGCCCTGAGGCTGCGCCAAAGCACACTGAACCTCTCCAGTGCCAAGCTCGTCTTGGCTTCGGGCATGGTACATGCAGTGAACATTGCACTGCAAGATCCACCTGGTTCGCCAGCTGGCAGGCATGAACGGCCACTTTCAGTTCGGAGGCCAGTTCTGGCAGTGAAACACCTCTCTCAAGGACGTTACACGTTTTTTTCAAGGAATGAAATGGAATGGAATCATTTGCTCAGTTGCCATTGATGTTCACCTTTCAAAGGCCCGATGAAACATCTCTTTCAAAGGCCAAACATCTGAGTGGTCCAGCTCCCTGGAAGTCCATGGCACTCTGCTCGATGCAACTCCTGAACGTTCTCGTCGAGAGAACGTTCTCGTCGCGTTCGTTCGCGTCGCGTTCTCGCGTTCTCGTCCTCCAGGTCAATCAAGCCCTGACCATAGGCACCGATGGCTTCCATGACCTGCAATACGACAAGATCTTCACATCTGACATACAAGCATGAAACGATCAACTGGAAAAGAACTGTGCCTTCCCTGGATCCAGCGCTTTGCCCTGCTCCACCACCTATACAGCTGCTTCAAAGAACCGATGGACTGTATCTTCACACTGACATTGTCTCGGTTCTTTCCAACTAACCAGTCCAGTACTCCAGGTGTCCATGGTCTTCGCTCTCCCGTCTTTGGCCTCGCCATCCGCTCCACGTTTCCGGCATCCGGGATGAAGGCCCGGCCTCGGCGCGTTTTCCGGTTCGGCCACAACTGTCTCGCCTCTGCTCACAACTGGGTCCGGACAGTGCAGGTCCACCAAACAGAGATAAACCCAGCAAGTCCTCGATGGAAGACCAGATAGACAGACAGACCGTTGCGCTTCGAAATCAACCACGGTTTGGCAACACAAAGTACGAGCACCGCGAGCACCGCGAGCACCGCGCAGCACCGCGCAGCACGAGCCGGCCTTGCGGGCCAGTGGCATCACCGCAGCGGGGACGCTCCTGGCAGCCGGAACGAACATTTCTTGATCCAGGACGTTTCTGGTCGTACGGTCTACGAACGGTCCAAGAGTGTAGACTGTGGACTGTTGATGAATAAAGCCCCCCTACCAGAAGAGTTTTACGAGGCTTTACTGATCAACAGTTTACATTGTTTGGTTCAGAATTTGGCCCACAGAAGCAAACAAAATATCCTGGGCTGTTTTCAAGACCCCAACATCGCGCGGCGATGTTAAGCGGCGCTTGAGGATGGCACTTATCGCAGCCGCCCAGCGTGATAATGGCGTCGGCATGGTAGCCCTCGTGCATAACCTCAATGCAGTCCGTGATCACCTGGCCCCACCGAACATTCAGTCGAAGAACCCAGGCGCCGTGGTACGACACGGTTCGGACGAGCGTACGAGCGAGCGAAGACGGTGCACCTCACGGCTGACCAGAGAATATCTCATGGCTTTGCACCCCTGCGATTCACCATCGCTAATCACGGGCCTCAGTGGGAAATCCATGGAAGTTTGGGTGTTGGAGTCTAGGTTGTGGAAAAACATGTGCAAGAAAAAGGCCAGGAGTTCAAGGATTGACTTGGCAAGTAATGAGCACGAATGTCTGTGAAACCAAACGATGGGGGTTTCAATGCTTAGGCTGCTTCAGCATTGACACTGCAGAAACACACAACAAGCTAGCCAACATGAAGGCTCAAACGAAACTGCCAGTCGAATGGACGGCAATCAGCCACTTTACCAGTCTGTGCTCATTACCCGTCTGTGTGGGGTAAGTCCGCGATCTTCCCAACTTGTGAAACGCAATGAAAGCGACGGCCACACAATTCGACAAAACAAGACCCAGCAACAATCAACATTAGCATGCAAGTAACCTCAACCATGCTTCGACAAGTTCAGCACCTGATCGATGACTAGATCGATCAGGTGCTGCCGCTGCCACATCAACCCTTGCCCTGGCCCTCGCTGAAAAAAACACATCAAGAAAAGAACCACGAACCGACCTACGAACCCAGCAGAACGCACTGCAGAACCGCAGACGCCGGAGGTTCGGGCGAGAGATCTCGCTTGGGCGGTCGGACGTGAAGCAAAAGTGAGCCTTGCCACCCAGCTTCTCCACCTGCCGTCGGGCGGCACGCAGGCGGCACTGAAGTCGGGAGGCACCGAAGGCAATGAAGACCCGGAAGTTCGAAGGAGCTGAAAAACCGAAGTCGGGAAGCACCAGGATGTGGCAATGTGAGTGTCAATTACAACAACTGCATCAAAGCTTGCAATTGCAACCTTGAAAGCGCGGGGTGTGATGTTGAGCAGCAACAAGAGAAGGACCAGCAGCCGGGACCACAGCAGACTAGAACCGGTCGAAACAGTGAACCGGGACAGCGAAGCAGGGCCAAGCTGCCAAACATGCAACTCTGCGTGGAACGACACTTGTGTCGACTCGTACCCTGCAAGGGAGACATCGTTTGAACTAGATATTGCATCCGCACAATTCGAAGGTTGCACAAAGGTATAGGTCATCTACGATTTCTTACAACGCACCCCACTTCTTTGAAGTTTGTCAGAATTTGTCAGCACGCCCTAGCACAATGAATCAACAACAACAAAACAAAATTGAAATGCATCATCGGCACAGGCCAAGTAGAGAAAAAACAAAAAGAACTTGTATATCAGGAGTCACAAAGGGGTGGTGTTTAGTCCCTACGTGAGTGGAAGAATGGGCACCCTTAACCTCCATGGATCGCACCCCGACATGTGACGGTATATCAAGTTCAACATCTTTGAAGCCAAACAGCATCGGCGCCTCTTCGGCCAGGATGTCTGCCAGGTCTCGAAACTGCGGTTCAATAAGTCACACGCTGCTGAATAAGAACCATTCTCAGCAATGGCAACCGCTCACCGCTTGCGCGGCCTGGTTGTTGCAAGGCATACTGTTGCTGTACCTGTGCGGCCCAACCACTTCGCCACTGATCCAAATGACTGCCCGTCGGGCACGGGGCAGCAATCGTAATCAATGGCTTTCTGAAATCATCATCCTCGACAAGTGAACATTTCCACGTCTGCACAATGGCTTTCCGTGAAGCCAAGGTAGGACAAGGTTCTGCAAAACGCGGGTCTTACAAGTCCGCCGGCACCTAAGGTGCTGATGCGTAAGCACTTTGTGTTGCAATTTCGGCCCAATGGCACATAGTGTAGTGCTCAGTTGGCTTGGCTAGGGGTTTGCCTTTCTTGAAAGTCATGGCCCTGAAAAGCCGCCTCAAGCCCGCAATGCTGGACATTGCTTTACCTTGACAAGTTGATAAAATCTATGTTGGACGCTTCGGGGCACCTTCCGAACATGGGCCCATCTTGGTTGCAACTTGGCCCAAAATGGCCTCAACTTTAGCAAAGTTGGCTTCAATTTGGCCCCAGTTGGCGCTAACAAACGTCCCAGGGAAAAGTACTCTAAAGTGGCACTGTTGGACTTTTTTGGTGCCCTCACTTCTCCTGGCCAAGCAAGCTGCAGCAGCTACGTGCACGTGGATAGAGTCAGTGAAGGGATCTCAGAACTTTTCCTTGTTGGGGCGTTCCTCTGCAGCTGTTTTTGGCGCGAGATGGGGCTCTTGGGCAACGTGGTGCCCTCCACCACATGCAGCCCCGGAACTTTCCCCAAAAATGTTTCTTGTGCCCAAGTTGAGCCGAAGTTGAAATCAACTTGTGCCCAAGTTGACCCCAAACCAACCCAGGTTGCATCCTGAAATGTCTCTTTTGAAACCGGTCTTACACCTCTGACTTCCTCCTTGGCAACTATAACTGCTTCGCTGCATTTCCAAGTTCACCCGCTTCATCCTTCTGGTGGGCGGCAGTCGCGGAGCGACATGAATCAAACAAGGAGTCAAAATGTCTAAGTCGCCCCTGCCAGCCTTCCAGCCAGCTGCTCGAAAGTTGGCCCTTGCACATGTCATTTTCACGTAGGAATTTGGAGCACCTGGCATGCAAAGCGCATCCCGGATCACACCACTACCACTACCACAGTGTATGACTCACCCCTTCAAATCAACAAAAGCAGCACACTTTGCAGATTTCAGCATTTGCTGAGGCGCACCATCAGGCTTCTTTGGGTCGCCCGTAATTTTGTAGCTCTCCCTCTTTAACCTGCCAAGTCTCAAAGCAGGGACACTTCGGATCCTGCGCGCTCTGAGCTCCCGGACTCTTGATAGCCCGCCATATCCCTTCGGGCAAGAATCGAGGAGAGAGTTGGATGTGAAAGGATATGCAGAGGTTCCCACCGCGCTGGGTGAGGGCGAGGGAAGCCTTCCTAAACCGTCCTAAACCTAAAGTAAACGAACTAAACTTCCTGGCAGGGTGCCAGGAAACGATGATCTAAGTAAAAAAACTTGAGCCAAAAAACATACTGGGCCACAGGATTCTGAACTCCTGTTTCGCTGTGCAAAGACAGACACGGGGGCACCATCCACACCATCCAAGTGCCCAGATTGGACTGTTTGGCGTTGTTGTGCCAGCCTTCAAGGGCGGAGACAAAATTCAAGGAAGGCTTTAGAAAGAACAAGGCAACTAGGCAACTTCAAACTTCCACAACGCAAGAACAAAAGAAGCTGAGAGATTTTTTAAAAAAGAGATGAAACAAAGGACCATAGAGGCTTTACCATCCGTGTCTGATAGGGGAGTTCTTTTCATCCAGATTCCCACAGCTTCCGCAGCTGACCCGCTTTCGCTTCGCTCGCTGTGCGCACCTGACACCTCCCAAGGCGTGGGACCTTCAGCTCGCCGTCGGAAAGCAGCCTGGCGCGCGAACGAGGCGTGCGTTCCACACGCGTTCCAACGAACGAGGCGTGGTTTCTCGGCGGCCCAAAGCCGGTTTTCTCGGCGGCCCAGAGGTTTTCCTCCGTCCTTTTCAGCTTTTCCGGGCGCGCAGCTCAAATGAGTCGTTCTTGGAGACGCATCACGTCGAGACACATCACGTCGGTCGTCAGCTTGGAGAACTGGAGACGCGAGCACCCCTTCTCCTCTGTTCGTCGTTTCCTCTTCTGATCCCGGCGTCGTGCAGAACACCCGCAAAGCCGCGCCGTGAAGTCTCAGGTTCGCCTCTCTTCGTCCGTCTCTTCACCGCGACCAAACACCCACCGTCCGGTTCCACCGGGGGGGGGCGTCATCCTCATCTATTGAGTCAGATCGGTACGGCCTCGGCACACCATTGCTCGGCCTCGGTCCGATCTGAAAAGAAGGCCACGCCTCCAAGCTTGGTCGTTTTGCAAATGGCTCGAGCGATCGCCATCAAAGGTCGAGGACCCAGGACCGCCACATGCTTCAGCCGGTAGGATTTCTTCCGAACAAAACGGACGATGCAAGGCACGGCCAGGGGAGAACAGCCAATGCCATTGCGCATGTCCACTAAGACAGAACATTTGATGCTGGAATCGATCTGCGCCATAGCCGTACTGCAGTCCTTCAAGAGATTCTCAGTGGTCTCAGCCGTCCCAAAGCCAAAAAGCTCGAACTCAATTCGGCCGTCCTTCCAAACAACGATCTGCGAATTGCCCACAGCATCCGAATGCGTAGAGTTCATGATTGGAGCAACCGAGGCCTTTGGAACTAGAGCAGGGTGACCGCCGTTGTACCGTCCACTCTGCAGAAGTAGAGGACACCCCAGAACTGCCACGCAGAACCAGCCTCTCCACACCATGACGATGCGTCGTGACGAGGGTCGAGGCTACATACACTACGTGCCATGTCCGACTCTCGAGCCCGATGGTTGAAATAACGCTTGCTTGGTCATCCCCTTGCCAAGACAATACTCTGCTTGCAGGTGATTTAGCGCTCTTCCTTTCTCTAAGAGGTTTGGACCGGTTTGCAAATACATCGAACTCACATGCTCAGAAGGTCACTTCCTGATCCTTCTCCCAACAAAAACTAAATCTCCAAGAACTGCTTGGCTGCTTGGACCAACTGGTGAGAGACTGTCCAAAGAAACGACCACAAACACCGACCACGAGGTGAGCAAAAACCTGTGAAAAGTTGAAATCCCAACACATATCAAGAACTCCAACCGCGGAAAGTCAACGTGGCATAGTTGAAACGAAACAAGTGAAAAAAAAAAATGCCCCACAATTGACATATGTCATTCACTGGAAACAAAGGAAACGGAATAATTCACAGGTCTGTGCGTGGACAATTTCCTCAGTGCCTAGCAAGAATGCAAGGAGATCGTTGAAGGCTTGCTATGTCCACCCTCACACCGTGGGTTGAATAGACAACCCAGCCGACAACATGCCTGCCATGTGGTGAAGACATACGTGAAGACCGGGTATACCGACCACCCCCAAAAAAAGAAGACCTGCTCATTGCGCTGTCTGCATCGGATGTGATCCGGGCATTGCCCTTTACCTCGGAAAAGACAAAGGAAATGACTCACTGTCCGTCTCCGAAGCCGACTCACTGTCCGTGAAATCCATCCATCCGCACAGGTGTCGGTGAGAAAGCGGCATGTCTTCCACAAGGCGGACTAGTATCGTTTTGGTTCACCCCATGATGAATGAGTTGATTCTCTTAGCATCCGGCAGGTCGGACATGAAATCCGCAGCTCAAATCCTCAGCCCCACAGCGTCTGCCAAACCAATTACAAAACACCCACAGCTGTTCCTAGAAGTATATAAAGAAGACTTCAGAAAGCGACTTTGCTCCTGGTAGGAAGCAGCGATTTCCCAAGTCTCTTTCTAGTACACCCCGAGTGGCACTACTAGGAAGCGGCGTCACCTCTTCTTAAGCCTTAAGCCAAGGCACCAGAAAGCTCTTCCAAGGACTGCGTCGCACAAATCTGAGCGGCCTGGCCCTGAGACATGGCGCCGCGCTCGCGGGGACCGCAGAGAGCGCCGCGCTGCCGCGCGGAAAGTCGGAGAGGGAGCGTTTTCGTTCGTTCCAGGTCGATGAGAAAGGAGCGAGACGGAGGCGAAGCATGTTTCATCTTAAGCATCTGCACGACAAGAGTCTCCGTCTCCAAACGTCAATACCGCACCTTAAGGGGGATGGGATCACATTGCTTCATCCCCGGGATGACCCTCTCGATGTCCATTCCGGTCCTCGGACCTCCTTCCCGACCTCTTCGCTCGCCTCATCCAGTGACTTCAAGGCCCAGCAGCAGAGGCTGCCAGAGCTCGCAGGGTCCTGAGAGCCAATCTGCACCAAGGCGCCTTTCTTTGGAAAAAGAGAAAAGACAGAGTTGAACTGACCTGAAGTGAACTGCAGAGAAACCCTGTCATCTTCCGAAACCCTGTCATCGTTTTGGACGGACTTCCCCAGTCCGTGCCGACTCTCTCCCACGTCTCTCCTGTAGCTGTGCAGGACGCGGTGCGAGCGACCTCGGAAGGGCGAGAAACACGCCCAAAGCGTCCAATTCAGGACATGTTACGAGCCATTCACACAGGTTACGAGCATGTCTGCTGAGGAGACGGCGACCTCGTTTCACTGGGCGAGGTCGCCGGCACCTGAAGCGAAGGATTTAAAGGATCACGTTGAAGCCACCGCGGCTTTGCCCATCGGCACCCGCCTCGAAGGTTTCTGCCTTCCTTTGAGGTGTTGCAGAAAGGGAAGCAACCGTACCACCTGTCATGCTTCGAAAGGTGTGATCTTTCAGGATCGTCCAAACAACCTCCCTTGCGGATGATGCGCAGATGATGTGCGGATGACTCACTGGGTCTTTTCGATGGATCTTCGCTGTGTCCGTGCGTCCGTGACGAAGAGCTTTCGCCACCTGTTACAGGGCCGCAAAGGTTGGGCAAGTGTGCAGGAAGGAAAGAAAAGACTGGAAAAAGAAAAAGCAGAAAAATGCAAAGGGACACTCTTCCAACCTGCAGCGCTCTTGTCTGAGACTCATCAGCTAAATCAAGGAAATGTTGGTGGCCTTGGCTGCAATCCTAACCCAAAGAACATGGAAAAATCAGACTAGCCAAACTAGGAAAGAAAAATCACCGTCAATCGACCATCAATCGAAGAATTCCCCCCTTTGAGGTGCTGACTTTCAGATGCACATGATTCCGCGGCAAAGCACAGCGCCAGCAGGGGAACGAAAAGCTTCAAGTCTGGCACATCATCGACAGATGACAATTCGGTGACGACAGACTGCGGATGTGACGCGCCTCTCATCATCTCCAGACCCAAGAGGGACCAGCGCCACGGTCGCATCGCAATGACCTGAAGCGCCGTCAATCAGCGGTGCGACCGGTCAATCACGCAGTTTCTGGGGGATGAAAGAAATGTTTCATGTCCAGTTTGCACTTGCCTAGGTTCTTGAATGCGCGATGCCTAGGCAGTTTCTGGGGAAAACGAAGTGCGAGGAACCCCAACGGGACGCCCGGCCCATGCGGCGCCGCTTTCGCTGGTCCAGGCGCTCGAGGTCGATCCACCTGGTCCCGGCACCCGAGTCCAGCAGCATGGACCCGACGGTCGAGTGAGTGAATTCAATGAATTGTGCCGTTAAGTGCTCAGTGAAAAGAGCCAGCTCCGTGAAAACGGAACATGTCACAACAAAATCAGCATGTATATATTTATATGTAGTATATTATATAGATAGATGATAGATATCACATGGCACAACCTGTGGAAAACTAAGTGCACCACTGTGCGAGAGAAGCCTCGTCGTTGTGAGGATCGATTCCCAATGGGTGCCGCCACATGCCGTGAAGACCGCACTGAGTCCCTGACCCTCGGGCTGGCATCGAATCACCAGCAGCTGTTTGAGGGTTTGCAAAGCCTGATACCATCCACTTCCTTCTTCATAAGCAGTGAGAACTGCATTCTCAAGTCCGGAATCGGAGTTCCGGAGAGGTGAGAATAGCCTCTCAGAAAAGACCTGGCTGAGCCAAAAGCTTCTTCGCCAAGAGAGCTTTGCAGAAGAAAGCAGCATCACACTGCTGAGGACGTGGTCACATGTGGTGTTTTCAACTGGCATCGAGTCAACTCTTTCCATCAGCTGGATCGAAGTCTGCCAGGGCACAGCACTGCGTCCCGTCCTTCCCGAGGTGAGCCAAGTACTCCAAAACACCTCATCGACCCGTAGGGTCTTGGAACGTAGGGCATCCAAAAGCGAAGAGCTCTGCTGCCAAGAACCGGAACCCAGGAGGTTCCAGGAAGCCAAATCGGGTTCCAAATGCCTGTAGCACATCTCTTGAAACATCTTTTGATTCTGATGCCAAGACATTTGGCCGATGGAGTTGTACAGCAAAACATCGGTTTCTACTGCTGCGACCTGAATTTGTGTCAACAAATCCGCGCTCACCTGCCACTTCTGCGACCTGCTGCAAGTTGCCAGAGATGATCCAAGAAATACCTCGTTCATGTCCCTCATCCGAGGTCCTTTCGATCGGTTGCCTCGCTCGCCTCGCTCTAGCAGCAGGCTGGTGATCAACCAAGCCTTCGCTCGAAAGCTCTCGGGATGCTTGGTCTGCTTTGCCGCAGTCATACATGCACTTCCCAGAACGGCATAAAGCTCTTCCAGAGACTGAGCTGCTGCACCTGCACTTGGCTGAGCTGCTTCTGCTTCTGTTTGGACGCCTCTGACCAGAAGAAGCTCCAAGACTCTCAGCGCCGAAGTCCAAAGGCTCGCCGCCATCATGGCCGATCCAACGGCTCCCCCCGCCACCGAGTCCGCCCGAAAAGCGGACTCGTCCACCGAGCCCACCGGCTCGTCCGCCCACGATGTGGGGGGCCTTGCGCCCTTCCAGAGGTCCAGGCAGCGGCTCCACGTCTTCTGGCGCATGAAGGCGGCCAGGACCGAGTTGCGAGTAAAAGCATCGGTGACCGAAAGAGAAAGCTGCTGTGTTCTTCGCAAGAGGCCAAGGGACTCCTTCCAGTTCACCGATCGCTGCAAAGCACTCAAACAGAGGTTGTGTGACAACAAATTGCTTTCGATGTGCAATGTGCGAGCTGAGGCCAATAGATCTTGCGCCTTCTTGGAGTGTTTTTCACCATAGTGTCCAAGAAGGGTGTTTAAAGTGACAACATCCGGGCGAGGTCCCTGCTCATTCATATGCTCCAAAAGCTTGCTGGCACGTTCAGAGAGTCTCGCCCGACAACATGCAGAAAGTGCGGCATTGAATACAAAAGTGTTCACAGGCCAAGAAAGGGTCAGGCAATCATCAAGCATTTGCAATGCCGACTGCCACAAAACACCCTGTGCCAGGCCATTGGTAGTGGCAGCGATTGAAACCACATTCGGCCTAAGACCTTGATCAAACCATTCCCTCAAAGAGGCCAGGGCAGCAAACCACCTGCCACGACGAGCATCGGTCAAGAGTAACTCAAACTGTGCTTGCTTCGCCTCGGCAGGGTGGCCCTTCGGCCGACCCGGCGAACGACCGGCCCGGTTCGGCCGCTGTGAGACGACCGGTCTTCCATGCGAGGCCAACGTGCTGAGACGAGGAGAGTCACATCGCATGAAAAGCAGCGACTGATCGAGCCGTCCGGTGAGCCAGTTCGGAACCCACGCGCAAGTCCTTGTTTTTCACCATTGATCGTGATTTTTGGAACTCTGGGTGTTTCACATGGCATGGATTGACTGGCGAAAAAAACACGAAAAAACTGGAAGCAAGAAATGAAGTTGCAAGAAGTTCTGGCCTGGCTCATTCGCCTCGATCTTGGACGAACAGCGCGACTGGCGCCCCGGTTCAGAGCAGAGCCGCTCATCCTTGACGGACAGCCGTCGGTCGTTTCTGGAGAGTCTGGGTGCCTGCCAAACATCGCACAGAAGAGCAAAAGACCCTTCAAGAGCGAAAGACCCTCATGCTCGAAGCTTGTTCTATCTTGTTCTCTTCATCCTCCGGCCTTGACCGGGCGCCTTGGAGGGTGCTTGGTGGTCACCCCTTCTGGTGTTCGTGCCTCTTCGATCTGTGCCTGGCATCACGTGGAACGTTCAGCAGTTCAGCGGATCAGAACTGGAACAGTTTTCCTTTCCTTGTGGCCCAGAAAAAGAAAGTTGTAAGAACCAAACAAAGAAAGGGTGAGTGTTCTTTAAAGGATGTTTATTCTTCATCTTTTTGGGTGAATGGTTCATTTAAAGCGCACCCAAGCAATAAAACGCTGGGTCCCTGAGCTGAGGCCTCACGAGCTTCACGCTTCGGTTGCCAGGTGCTTTCCATCAACCGCAGATCCTCCTGTCGGGTCGAGTGTTGGTTCAACGAAGCACAACATGCTTTCCGGGAAACGGCGCCCTTTGAGAGGAGGAAGGAGTCTTGTTCTGACTGGCGAAGTAGTAAATCGATCCCCAAAAAATGGTTCGAGAAGCTGTCCCGTTCTCCCAACGTTTCGGTCCTTTTCTCCATGTGAATGAGGTTGACCATGGTTGACCCCATGTGAACCATGTCATGAATCTGTGCCCTCACATCACCCGAAAACGCCGCCGCTCTATTGGCGCGCCGGATCGATCCTGGCGAGGGCGAAGGGTGACCGGCTCGGTGGGCATCGTGATGGGCATGCGGACCTCCGGCGTGCGGAGGTTCGCCTCGTCGCTGCGGAAGGATGCCTGACATCGCTCGTTCGGTGGATTTCCCAGACGAGAGAGGGGCCGGTTTTTGGTGCGAGAGAGGGGCGTCTGAGGGGTGTTTTCTTTTTGTTCAGCAGGGTGTTTTTCCTAATCTAGGGATATTTAGGGTATCTATCTATGTATATACATATATTTTTTTTCAGATTCTTTTTTTGGGGGGGAGCCCTTCTCGGCAAGTCCTCCGTATTTGAGATACACCGATGACATTGGAAAACATCGGGCCGACATAAGCACAAGGATGTTCAGCAGCTGAAAGGGAAGTGAATTCATGCGTTGCAGTCCAGCCTGGGCTTGGATAGGACTTGGAACCTGCACGTGGTCCACGCACACAGTGAATCCACAGCCTTTTGCATGTCTCGCCTCGTCTGGAGCCATGGTAGAGGATGAGAGGGCACCACCATCCTGGCTGACACAAGGAGATACAACTCAAAGAAGTTGTCAGATGCAAAGCCGTCACTCCTTCTTCAACACAAAGCCATCACTGAGGGTTGCTGGCGGGCCCTGAGACACTACCTTAGACACACGCTCAGCAGTGTTACGAAAAGAAACGATGCGGAAGCACAAAAAGGTGGCTACTTCAATTCTGCAAACGGCCTGCGTAGCTGGGCTCACAAAGCAAGAGAAAGCTCACCCAAAAGAACTTGCGGACCAAGCGTCGGGTTTTCCAAGACCCAAGGGACTTCGAACATCCTGGCCATCAGCTGAAATCGAGACAAAAGCAGGGTCCAACCATCGGCCCTAAGGTCAAGCGCTGCTTGTGTTGTAGAAGAAAGTCGCTGAAATGCCCCAAAATCTGAGAATTTCAGTTTCAGGCCGCTGCACCAAACAAAGAAGCGAGTGTTAAACAAAATAGGAAAAACACGAGTGTTAAAACAACACACCCAAACGTCCTCGAAGGTCGAGTCCTCCTTCGAAGCGTCCGGACTCCTCGCGGCTCCGACGGACCGAGCGTCGCTCCCGCGACGGGTCGCTCGGCGGTCCTGGACATCCGAGGGCCTGGTCGAACGGGCAGGTTCGTTCGGGACACGAAACGAAGGGGGTGAGGATGGTGAGGATGGGAAGGCCAAGATCGTCCATCTTCCGGAAGGAAGAGATCACGGAGATCACGCTCATAAAGGAGTAGAATGGGCGCAGAGAGGAGGGAAAGTTTCACCGTCACCGATCTCATGGGTTTGGAGTGACAGTTCAATGCGAGTCGTTGAAGCAAGACAATCAAGTCAGTCACTAAGGGCTTCACAAGAATACTGACTGCCATAGGAGCTCCTGCCACTAATGCGGCCTCACTGAGAGCTTTGGATTTTCTCTTCAAAAGGAAAAGCCCGACTGTCAGCCACAGGAAGAAAGCGGAAACCCAAGACTCGCACCGACTGTGGACTGTACATGGCCCTCACAGCAGGCACAAGTTGTTGAGTGAGTTCACAAAGTCAAAAATCAACACTCGCTGAACATGAAATGAAATCACTATAGAATCACCTGCACCATGCAGCCTGCTTGAGTAACAAGTCGCAAGAAAAGTAGAGTCTTGATTCATAAACCCCCCCTATCAAGAGGTGTCCGGCAAATGCCGGAATGGGGCGGAAGGTGTGGGCGCGCGACCGCCCGCTAGTGAGTGCATTCAAGTGGGGTGGATTTATTAATCAAGAGTGGACTTCTAAAACTGACACCTCAAGTGCTTGAGTCTGCGAAGTCCTTCGACAAGTCATCAATTGGGATCATTGCAGTCCTGCCACCGTTGCGATCGCGTTGCAGCACTGACACCTGTGATGGTGCGAACCTGAGCCCCGAGTCGGTACGTAACGGACACGCTGAACATGTATCACTGCGTCAGGTCCATCTGAAAGTGTATCAAAACGCGGTTCGACCTCGCGGTTCGACCTCCTGGAAGCGGAAACCGACCCAGTCTACCCAGTCTACCGGCGCTCGGAGGTCTGTCTCCCCATTCAAATACACACCCATGCGGGACTCGACAGAAGCGTGGCCGACCTCAACATCGGAGGTGCGGGGCGAAGCCGATGTCAGCGGCACAAGCCTAGGCCAGGCTGCCAACGGGCGTGGGGAAAGTGGGCGGCGAACGACATCCCCAAACTCCGCCCATCTGATGGCCTGCTGGTGTAGGTCTGTGATCTTGGAGATGAATAGGTACGATGCACCTGCCGAGCCACGCGTAGCCACGCGTACGCGTGGCACGATTCGACCGGTCCTCGCGCCCCGTCTCGACCGGTCTCCGGCTCGGTCCTGCACGTGGAGATCCCGCGGAGACGTGCTGGTCGAGAGGCGACCAAAGCTCCCTCGGCTGCTTTCGGCATCGATGCGGCGCTTTCGGCGTCGCTCCGTTTGGGGAGGGCGAACTGGGGTTTGGGAGTGGTTGACGGGTGGGATGGATTCAGAAAGGCTTTCTTGTGCTCAATTGAAGATGAAGAAGTCTGCACCCAGCTTCCGCACGTTCGTTCCTCCGAGCTGCTGAATCGTTGCACTGGCACGGCAGCTGACCCAGGTGGAGAAGCCGCGGATTTGCATTGAGGCACCATAGGTACCTTATACTCACCAACACACTGCGCTCGCACGCTTCGCTCACTCAAGACTGGGGCATGTACACCGTTGAGCCACTGAGGCACCTCATGGAATTCGTCGCTTTTCCCAACACGTCGACAGCGGAGACGAAGGACACCCGCATGACGACTCCGACGACAGCACTCGCATGACGACTCGAGCCTGAAGGTGCGGTGAAGAACACCGTGGCAATGCGTCTGCTGGACGCAACTTCACCTTCGCAACTTCGCATCGTTTTGGTACAAAGGCAGACACTGGGTCTGCACTTGAGGCACTGACAGGGCTCACATGATGAAGACTTGGAGGTGGTGCCGGAAGAGATGGTGGCAGAGGGCAACCACCCCAATCTGAGCATCCAGCATTGTGCTCTGCCAATCCTTTCAACACATCCTGACGTGTCCTTATGTCCCTTTACTTGGAAACAGGCTGGATAAGACATTCGAAGGTTCACGAGAAGCCTGCGAGCCAGCGAATTGAATCGATTTGGCTTGGAGATGGAAATCCTTTGAAACACCAGCTGCCTCTCTTCTGTAGACAGGCACCACCAAGGAGCGTGGCTGCCCAAGGGTCCTTTCACAATGAAAACTTGCGATGTCTCTTCAGAAGATGAACAGTGTCCTCTGTATACCGCCAGGCCATTTCGGTGCAGGCGCGCAGTAAGAGCCTGAAGAAACCTCTCGCGGCAGCGCGGTCAAAAACAAACCAGAACGTTGGTTCAAACAAAGGGCTGAGCTCGCCGCGACGATGGGGCCAGGGCTGAGAGTCCTTGCCTGGGTTGGTTCATGACAATGGGTTTCGACTTTGTTGTTTCCTCCGTTTTTGGGCTTCGAACCCGTTGCACCTGCGCCGGCGTAGCAGCCGCGGGCCCTGGCGCACGGACCGGCGTAGCAGCCGCGGGCGCCAGCGGCTGGAAATTGGTCACCTGCGAAGTGCAAGACATTGAGCAACAAGGAGTGGTCATTGAGCAGCAGCGAAACCAAAATAATCATGGTTACGTGGAGTTCACGCCCTGAAACATGGTCGTTTCAGGATGTCCAACATCCGTTTCAACGGCCATGAAAACGTGACCAGTGATTCTTTCAGGGAGTGTACAGCACACCAAGAAAGATGAAAACTGTTTGATAGACATCTTGGATTCGGGCTGGCTCTCGAGGGTAATCGTCGCTGAAAGGGGCCTTCGGGCCGGATGCCTCCTGCACCACTGCGGCTGGACGCCCACCATTTCTGTGAACTGCGAAAAGATATTTTTAGGTTACAGAAAAAAGAATAGTGAAAAGGGATTTTAAGTGTCCAATAATTGTTCCAATACATTTAGTCTTCTTTTTCCAGTCTCTCAATGAAATCTATTCATTTTGATGAGTCGACAGCTCGGAATCCGACGCTGGGAATCCCCACGGAGCTGCGCCGAATCTCCCTCGGAGCTCTTCCGACATCGATGTTGCTGCAAGAGTTGCGCAACATGGCAACATTCCCCAAAATGAAAACCAAACGGGCTTAGCGGTTTGCTGCAAGTCCGTGCAGTTAGCATGCGTTGAGCATGGAACACTGCAAAATACCCTCAAGCCCTCAAAAAATGAAGTCATGGTCGTGCAAAAATGCAAGCAGGACCCAAACTTTCAGCAGGTCCAGACTGGAAGGAGAATCAGTGTAGAACGTCCCATCGTTCCAACAGATTGACCATCATGTTCCGGTCAAGAAGCTTGTGGCTGCAAGAGTTCGGAGAGCCGATCTGATAAGCGATTCTCAACTCGCTCGCGTGGTCAGAACGAAGCAACACGTACCAAGAAACCCGTGGGGCGGCATAGGCATTGCGCGCCTTTTTCCGATGCTTCACCTCTTTCGTCACTCTGCTCTTGTATGCTCAAAGCTGGCCTCACAAGCCCATCAGCAATGAGCTAATGTCCCACACATGGGAGTGCTGAAACACAAAATGGTCACCATCATTCAGGTGACGACATAGGAATCACAGAACACTCTTTCTGCTGCCAATTGCGCACTCATTTCCAAGAAGTTGGCACTCATTCCGCCAGGGGTACCGTAGGAACCACAAAAGTGAATTGCTCGAGCGGCAAGTGAAAATGCACCCGCCCCAAGGAGTGCGCCAAAGCTCGTGGAACACAGGGCACCTCCGCTGCCCTGACCAAGAACCAGCGCGGGTCGAGGTCCACCAGCCCCTTCACCAGGGGACCAAGTCCCATGCGCAAGAGCCCCTCGGCCATCGTCCACGCCACAGATGTGCCATAGCTGTGTCCGCAAAGCACCAGCCCTCCTGCATCGCCGTCGATGTGTTCCAGCAAATGGTGGCCTTTTCCAGCAAGTGGAAAGAAAGAACATGACACCAGTTGTTCGACCCCAAACAGCAGCTGCAGCTTGATGTTTCTTTTTGCTAGCGAACCTTGAAAGTGTTTCGCCGCCAGCTTCGAGCCATGCGAAACAATTGAGACAAAAGGAAGACAAAGCAGAATCATCTCAGCCCAAGCATCCAAGAAGAGCCATGGGAGACAAAGCGCGGATACAAAAGGAGACTTAAGGCCTGGCCCATCATCTTGGCCCAGGATCGTTTCTATGCAAGGAAAATCAGCACCCCTCACACCGCCGTCGAGGGAGACGGTGGGATTCCTTCTTATACTTATCAGCTTCTCAACCAGCAAAAAGATTTGCGCTGCCTGCTTCATCACCCCGTCTCGCACCGCTTTGCACAGCTTGGTAGGCACCCCTTGACACACCATAACCGCTCCAGCGGACACGGTGTGTACGAATTCTCTCCCCACAATCCCACACACGTACAGTAGGCGTCATACATGTACAGCAGATTCTTGATTCATCAACGCACCCTATTCTGAATTGAAGCGCCTCTTTATATGGAGGGGTTAATCAGTTAATCATGAAGAGCCTTTTCTTTACATTTGACATGTGGAAAATTGAGAGGAGAGATGCGTTTTCCACGCACCAAAAGCGTGTCTTCGACCAGGCAACCTTCATGACACACCGGAGAAACGAAGAGAAACGAGGCGTCCGAGACACGATGCGGAACAAACCGTCCAGCCTCCCACGCACTCTGGAGCCTGTCCAGCCCCTCCCCCTTGACCTTCCTGGCCTGAGTCCCTCCCTCCGTGTCTGCACAAAGCAATGAGCCGGAGGAGGAATGCCACGCTGGAGAGTCACAAGAGAGGAAAAAGAACCAACTAGAGACCGCCGATGCGGAAGGAGGCCGAAGAAGGAGGCCGAACTTCGAGCAGAGATCCCAAGAGGTGCACCGATCCGAGCTGAGCAGAGGAAGTAGCCTTAAGGCTTCTTACGACTACGTCCGCTTCTTGCCACGTTGGTAGCGATGGCCTCCCAACCTACTTGCAATGGCCTCCACCTAATAGCCTCCTCTTCCCCTCTGTTTGTGATTGAGTCACAGGCTTCATCGCCTGAATGGCATATTGCGCTCATGTACGGACGCCCCCAGGGCACAGGCAAGGAGCAGGCGATCGTCGCAAGACAATCCCCAGCAGCACTAGCGCTTCCGGAAAATCAACAAACCTAGTGACCTCACCAAACATGTGAGATGCATCCAGAGATTGAACAAAAGGACCGGCAATCAAGATCATTCATCACGTCAAATACCCATCGATAACTAAGTAACTAGCAACGATTTAGACTGTCAGCGAGTGGCTCATCAGGAAACAGGCTGACCACGCAAGGTCTCCTCCACATACTCGAGCGGTTGTGCCAATTGCGCAGCAAGCAACTGCGCCAAATTCACAAATTTGGCCTCAGCTCAACTCAGCAAGCCTACTTTGCTACGGTTTTCTTTGGGAGTTCGCAAAAACACGTCTAAAAGAAAGTAGAACACTTTGTGTAAAGGCTTTCAGGTAATTTGCAGTACTCCGCTTTCTGGCCATCCCTGGGAAGCCAATCAGTTTGCAGAGTCTGCAAGGTTTCCGGCTTTCGCACAGTGAGGGCTTCGACATAAAGCAGCGAGGGCTTCGATGCGCAGGTCCAACGTGGTCAAAAAGTGGATTAGCTCGATCCTCTGCTTCAAGCCCAACATGATGCAAAATGGATACATATTGTATACATGAGATAATATATGATATATATATATATATTATATATACATATATGGTACCCCCCTATTATGTCTTTAGTTGTATCCATGTTTATATATGTACAACATAAAAGAATGCAGAACGGATCAGAAACAAAAAACTTCTTAACAAATCTGAACAAGGAGCAGGAGCCATTAGGCACGAGCATTTCTCGTGGGCCAGTTGAGTTAATGAATGTTGGCCTTGAAACACACTAAAAAAGCTTGGCACGAAGTTTTCGCAAGGTCAAACTTGGCAAACTCAAGCTTCAACATGTACGACGGACAGCTGGAAGGTCCAACTGCACGCCCAGTCCAAATGCGACCGTTGCGCCGTGAGGCCTAAGAATAGCAAGAATGAACTTCCGTTTCTGAATTCCAACTGCTGAACATCGAGCCTCGGTGCGGGGAAATGCTGAACGCTTGATCAGGCATGTCTGAAGGCTCTTCCTTCGGGTTTGCCTATTGAGCGCATGGCCGTGAGTTAGTGGGGTCAAAGCATGAAACGACTGGTAAAGTTCCGAGATCACATAGAGCAAACAGCCCATCAGCCGAGCATTTGTCGGATGAGCGTTCAGTGCCAAAGATCAACTGCCAGTCGGTTCCTTGGAGTGGGCATTCACTGCAAATTACGCGAAGTATGTTGACCAATACGAGCTTGATGTGTGCAGGGGCTGCCTGAATTTGAGCTCATCTCATCTCATCTTCTTCTGATGCCCAGAATCAAATGCTCTCGACTATGGCAGTGCATGTGGCTTATGACTTCAGGGCCCAAGTGACTCAATCAATAGAAGGATAGACGAACAAAGACGATGCTTTTTTGCCATGAGTGTCAGTTGTTCAGGGCCCCATCGCTGGTGACAGCAAGGTCAAAGGTTTCCAGCGAAAAAGTGTCCAATTCTGTGGTCTTGGCTGGTCAAGATCCCAACAAGTCATGCCACTTGGGGGACTTTCCGGGCCGGTCCAAGTGCCTGGCGCAACTCGTGCGAAAAAAGTGGAGAAGTTCCCCGAGCATCCGGGCGCCGTTGTTCGGTGTCCAGTGAAGCCCACTGGTGCCGCATCCGGGCGCTGTGTCCCAGCTTGCCACTCTCCTTTCCCTCCAAAATCTGATGCGGAGGACCTGCCAGTCCGGCAAGCTGCATTTCTCCAGGCAAGGAAGTACCTCCTCCAAGGCGTTCAAGCGTTTGACATGTACTTGATGGCCTACCTGCTTCAAGCGTTTGACATCACTGCCCATCGAAACGAGTTCAGAAAAAAGCAAGCTGGCGACTTCAGCGCGATGCTGCAGTGAGCAACAGCAGGCACTGCAAACGAGGGGCTTCGTGACCAAGCTCTTCCAGCTGGCGTCATGTCGTTCGTGCAGCACAGCAGCGTCCAGCACAGCAGCGCGACATCACGTACAAACAAAAACGTTGGCGTTGATCATGATCATCAGTGGCCGTAGCACGCCGGCGCCCGGGCCCCTGTCGCACCCCGCAGCGCATTCAGGAACCCACCATGCGCCGCAGCGCTTTTCAGAAGACCAACTCCTCCACATGCCACCGTGAGCCGCCTCCCCGGTCCGTCAGCAGCACGTTAGCAGCCACCCACCAGTCCCCCGATCCGTCCGTGAGGTGAGGGACGCTTCGTTCCTCGGTCTGAGGGTGACGCTTAAGAGCCCCGATGCCCGCGATGCCCGCGATGCCCTTTGCTCCTAGTAGCTTCTTGTTAGTAGCGATGCCCTTAGTTCCTAGTAGCGTCCGATCGCTCCTAGTAGTGCCAAACGGAGCTAGGTCTGGCATGGCTGGGACTTGAATTGAATCTATTGCATTGCCATTGCTCGATCGGACTCGAACTTTGGTATGCTGAACTCAAGGTCAACATAGGTCGAGTCTCGAGCGGGCATGGCTCAAAAACCGATCAAGAATTTGTTCTAATGGACTCTTCTTTCACATAGTTCTTCCGCAACACTCTCGCCACTTGCATTTGGGCTTTCGCACGCTGCAGTCTGTGCAAAACAACCTTTGCAAGCGTTCGTGGAGAGGACTGTTCTACATGAATCATGGGATGTCTTACTTACATGCACGTCATTCCAAATATGACTGTCTGCTCGTATCAAAAAAGCAGCTTCTGCAAGCTTTCGCACATGAAAAGTTCTGTCATGAATCTTTCACGACCATGTGGCTACCTTGTCACGAAGGCACCTTACATTAAGGTCTCTTTAAACTATTATTTAGGAACTTCACGTTAGAGGTTTTGGTCGCTTCTCTTTCGTCGATTTTGGCCGAAAGCTAAGCCAAAGTCGTGTGTCTGAAAGCGCTCTGTGAGCTTTTGCGCTGGCAAGAACTTGCAAAGCACCGGACATGGCTTGGATGGTGGATTTAACTGAATTGCAGCCTCGACTTATTCTTTCAAACCAAGCCGCGCACGCCTGATGAGGACACTTAAGGTGGAAGTTCGCTCAGCAATCGAAAGGAATGCGCGCTGGTAGCACGAACATTCACTGCACAAGCAAGCCCCCTCCGCCGGGCTGGCGTGCAGACCTTACGGCAATTAAACTGCAGGCACCTGATGTTTCTTATCATAGAGTGCTTCTCAGGCTTCACTCCAAGTATTGCCAAGCACTGCGTCTGTGATTGATTCAGAATGAAGCCAGATATTGCAGAATGGAAGCACAAGACTGGTTGAGAGTTGCCACTCGGAAATCGCTTCACCCGGATGTCCCTACCTCAACCGACATTGGTGTGGACGACATTGCGAAACAAGCGCATGTCCAGACGCCCACCTTTCGAACCAAGGATCCGTCTGCTTTCAGCGACGTCGGTAAAGGCGCTTGGAGCCCGGCGAACTGCGCCAAAAACGCGCTCTCGGGCGCGAAGCCGCTTGGAGCTCATGCCATCGCTCACTCACAACCAGTGCCAAGTGGTGCCTATAACTGACTGTTCAAATGTTGACTGGTGACTAGTGGCGACTTGGACTTCGGACCGTGTCTGACCTGAAATGCCGCTATATATTTTGAAAGCACCTTCTGAAATGGAGGAAGCCCTCCATTGAAGGGCTGCTAGGGGAGTTGGACTCTGACATGATAGGTCAAGGGAATCGTGCGTTGAGACGCACGAGCTTAACGGAATCGTTGAAGGCACGCCGCGTGGCCTCATCCTGAGTTGAGAGTCTGAAGTGATGAGGAGCCCTGTGAGGCAAATCATGAACTCACCTTGTGACACCGCTAAAAAACCACTCCAAGCAAAGTTGGAATGGACGCCACGGAGCTTGCGGCCACTCGTCCCCTTAAAAATGCCTGTGGCACCGGCAGGGCAATATCTCCACTCTCCACGTGTTGCCGAAAGCGACAGGTGGGGCCGGGCTCCAGCCGCACTAGTCGAGCCGCAGCGTGGATCCCTTCAACGTGAGGGACGAGTTCATCGAGTCAACCCATTCTTTT